TTCTGTGGATCAAGAATTCGGAGACATTTTCAGAAATTAGAATGATTTCGAGAAAATAGAATCATAATTTGTGATATCAAGTTACTCATTATCAAGTTAAAAAAAAGAACCATGATTTGTAATGCCAAGTTAATGGATGTTAGTTTATCTGCATCAAACTTTACTGCAAATTTCAAAACTCGATGTTAACAAACCTTTTCTATGTCTTCGATTGTGAAAAGAATGTGATCCAAAGATCGGACAATTTGCCGCACAATCTGGCCAATGTCTTCAAGCCTGGTGGATGCGTTATAGTCATCAACCTGAAGAAGTAAATAAACATGAACTAATTTTTTTAAAATTCACTCATGAGCAAATGGTTGGAGATTTTATTTCTAAAGTGAAGCATTGACTCAAGTTGAATTCTGTAGTCTTGTAGGGATATTGCGCAAACATCCGATTATTACACATACACCAGAAGGAGATGGTAACAGACGAGCAATATGGGCCTCTGAAACCCCATAGTTTATTGATGTTTCGTATGTGCAGTCTCTAGTTGGTTGTTAACAGTTGGTCCGTCGTCTGACTGCAAACGTTTCATGCTCCTTTTTTCTTTTCTATTCTCAAAAATCAAGGTACGCAACTGCTAGAGAGAGTTGAGTCCCAGAAAGCCAGGAGACCGTTTTGATAGGTGCCACACAGTTATTTCCTTCTTCTAAAGTCTATTCAGAATGCTACTTAAACCTTGACATTACTATCCGATATCCTGCATGTCGTAAACATGGTCATAGAATAAATTTATTCAAAGGCAGGTATTTTTTCAAGAAAGTTTTTCCAAATAATAGTTCGTGGGTATCCAGTTTATCTCTTACCAAGGCATTTGCATTGACAAGGTCGTTGATGCAGGCAGTGGCATGAGTTTTCAACTGAAAATAAACAATGAAGAACTGAGAACATGTTTAGTCGGAATAATGTAGCCGGCAAAAATCATTTGAAGTCTTTGGTTTGAAATAAAGTTCCTATCAAAAATAACCATGACTTGCTCAAATTTGCTTGTCATTTGAAAGTCATACTAAGCAGATTTTTACAAATTGTTATGTCACGGCCAATGATCGTTATGTTTTAATTATTATGCTTTGAGAGCCTTTGGAACATCCTTTCTACACTTAAGTCTTCAACTTGTTTAGCACAATACTTTGTGAGAAAGATATAAGATATTAGAAATTTGCGGAGCATCAAATGATATCATATTCTAAGGCAGCAACTTACGTTTCTAAACGCCGACCGTCTGAACGAAGAGTCGGTCAATTTCCGAATGATTTCTGTCTTTCCATTGCCAATGTCGGTTAGATCTTTGGCAATCTTTAGCAGAATTTCTACGAAGAGGCATTTTATCTAAAATCTAGCATATTGGTTTTGTGAATATTGGTTTGAGAATAGAATAGGGAGGCAACTGTTGTGTTGTATGGATATATTCATTGTATGTGCTATTTCTTATAAAGTGTACTTAGCTAAAGAATATGAAGTGTTACTTTAAAATAAGATATAGTCATTATTGTACAGTGTACTAATATTAAAATTACCAATATTGGTAAAATCAGTCCAATAAATTTTCGAGTTGATATCCGAAAGGGCGGTTAGCGGGATGGGATCTGAGTTTAATTGTAAATTTTAGGTCAAAGTTTTAAATTTCGATCATTAGGAAGAATGCAACAAGCAAATATGATTTAATGAAACATTTCTTACCGGTATTATTTGCCAGACTTTCAAAAACTGTGAGCAAATTTGCTCTTTGGAGCTCGACATCTTGGAAATTCTGAAAAAAAATCAGTTGATAAGAATCTTGATAACGAATCTAAAGAATGCTGTAATTTTCTTGAAACTCACTCAATAAGATAAGGTCCTAAACGACTCACGCATAAATTTTTTGTTTAGGGATATGGTTATATGTTTGTTTGTGGATATATTTAAAAAATCTCCATAAAATAAACAAGAACAAGAAGAAATCTTAATATTTTAAGTTGGTGTCACAAATGATTGGCTTCAACAGTTAAATCGATCATTTTTGTTGGTGCTATCTTTACAGCTGTGTTTTTTGGAACCGATGCTATGGCCGCGATTAGATTCAATTCTAACTCAATACGAGGGTAATCGTTGGATACGTGTTACCAAGGTGCCACTGCTTGACGACAAAATGGTAGCTAAAATCCGTAAAATTTATTTTTTTTTCATTTTGGTGGGAGAAATAGATAAGATTTTTACGGAAAAACAAACTGTCCTATTTTATTCATTTCACAGCTAAAATGTATCCTCTGTATTCTCTAAGGACGAGATAGCTGTGGCATGTTTTCGGAATTTAATGCACTCATTCTCCTGAAGAAATACTCAAAAATTTTATAGCACATCGAATCAAGCAAATAAAAAGGTTCAAATATTCTTAATGGCTCAAAAAGTGCACTTGGAAATAATTGTTAAGCTCTCTACATTTTTTGCTTTTGAAAATAACTTCTTTTTACAAGTTATTGATCTAATAATAAATGATAGATTAGATCGTTTTAGTGAAATAACTTCCAAATTTGTAATCCCTACTTGTTGAATACATTCGGGCAACATAATAATTTAGACACAGTTCAGAAAATTATTCCTCAGGCCGAACATTACCCCAAAGCTTTCATAAAGTTTCTCAAGAAACAAGATGGAGTTCTGAAGAGGTTCATAAATTTGTTGTTTGTTTTGAAATGATTTTACTTGTTGTCGGCTGTTTGATTGCCATCTTAACCCATTAAAACATTAAAAATGTGTAGGAAATTTACAACATACCTAATAACTATGATGAAATAAAATATTATAAAATAATGAAATGGTTTTTTATGTGACGATTTTTCAGTTTCTTTTATTTTAGTCTTTTCCAGGACTGAAGATGTAATTTTAGAGCTTTTTCTAGGAATGAGATATTTAGAAAAGGTTGATGAGAAATTGTACACAAGATAATCCCAAATATTTTTTCTTTAAATTTAACAATCTGCTTAAGCTAGAAAACTTGGCTCTTTTTTAATTGATCTCCATGAATTTTTTCAAATCTTGATGATCATAAATCGCTGAATTCAGGAATCAAAACTTCACAAAAACTCACCCTTCCGTCGAACTCCGCGTTCCAAAAAACACCAACGGCTTTCTCCGTGTTTTCCATTTTAAAATTGAATAATTATCCAATTAAGACTTGAGAAAAAGTATCCACAAAAGATGAAGTTTATCCGCAAGCAAAATTTGCGTGTAGCAAATCAGTTGAAAAGTTCGCAACAAAATTTGTAACGGTTTTTTCGCTTTTTAAAGTTTGACTAATTTGACGTAAAAACTGACGCAATGTCTCCAAGGATACCACGAACATCATGCATTGCTCATATGCGACAGTTTGAATGTTTAAAAAGAAATGCAAAATATCTTGATGAATCAAAATATCCCAAACTCCTATCTTGATATACATAAATATAAAGTTCTCCTTGGAGTCTTTTATCGGCATGTTGTTTAATGAAAGTGCATTTATGAGTTCAACAACGCAGGGAAACCTTTGAGAATTGTAAAAATGCGACTGTAAATTGTTCAAAATCTTTATTTAGACCCGGTAGCAAAGTTTGATAATATTTAGTTAGAGGGTTATTGTGGAGGATGATAACTGCGATGTTTAAATAAATAAATATCTCTAAATACTTTGAACTTAATGCATTGCTTATTTGCAACAGTTTGAATGTTTAATATTTGTCATCATGTGCCTAAATTAATCATAATTCTCTAAAAAGTATTACTGCTTTTAAAAGTGTTGGATCGTTTTAGTGATACCATGACGCAATTTACATAATTTCTAGATCAACTTCTATAATGTAATCAGTTAGATACAGACCAATTAAAAGGCCTTCATATGTTTGTCGAAAGCTTATTTATCGGATTGTTAAACAATTCTGATCGGAATTTCTTCAACAAGCTATGTGAAGAGGGGGTAGGGGCGGTTTTCTGCTACGTAAATCTTATATGGGCAAAATAACCAATATGTCCACGTGTAACTGTTAATTTACTTTCAAATTAAAACCATCCAGACGCTAGGAAAAAACCTATGTTGCTCTTATATAAGGCGATTGAGATTCTCAAATTTCTAATAATTACATGGGTGGAACTTCTTTTTAACGATTTTTTTGCTTTATTTTACACTTTGAAGTGATCTAAAATCTTAAGAAGTGCATTTTTCAAACGAATCTTTTACATGAGATTTTGAACTAAGGATGATTAGAGCAATGACTTAGTATGGGTGTTTTCTGGTCTTATCCGTTCATGCGCTCAAGGTTATTTTTGGAGCCCCGTCAAAATGCGCGCATCTTTCCTATCAGCAACCTTATATTAGTAAACGACACTACATAATACCGTGTACTTTAACCGTTGAAACTGATTCAAACACAAGAACCAAATGGTCACTGTTTTATTTTTCTTAAAAGATGAGATGATCGCATCCACGTTGAATTGATATTGCTAAAGACAAGACTACATCCAATATTTTATATGCTAGCAATATTTCTTTGTTATTTTCTTTTTTCCAAACAGTCTTTAAACTGAAACGAGGCTCGCTTTTCTTAAAAGTGGAAAAGAGCTGTCCTTAAATGAATAATTAAGAAATTTTCGTAGACGTAGAGCTTCTCAGTGAAAAAAGATTTGGAAAGTAAGGAAACCCCTAAAAATGTTTGGTACCAAAGTTTGTATTCGCTTTAGATGACATTCAGCACTGAGCCAGAGTTTGAGTTTTTCTTTTTCTTGGGAATATATCTTTGGAGGAATTTGTAACGATTCTCAATAAAAGATGATTTCGAAGGTGGGGAAACCCCTAAAATATTTGGTACCAAAGTTTGTATTCGCTATAGATGACATTCAGCACTGAGCCAGAGTTTGAGTATGCTTTTTCTTGGGAATATATCTTTGGAGGAATTTGTAACTCAAATGTTTATGGTTTACCTAAACCCCCCCCCCCCCTCCCCCGAGGTTTGAGAAGCAGCCTTTCATTGTTTTCTTTTTGTCCTAGGAAAGCAGTATTCAAGGCTGGATTTTATCGCTTGTCTGTGCATGAGCGTTGGACTTATATTTTTCACTCTCGCTGATAGTGAAGTTTCACCGAATTTTAACCACACTGGTAAGTAATTTAATCTCATTGTAATGGGTTTAAATAATGGGCCTAACGAGAGACCCGACTTCCGAAAAATTCTGGTCAATTTGATGTGTGCAGGATAACAGAAGACATAAATTTTGTGGAATACAGAAAACATTAAACATTATACATATAAGGAAAGGCTGTGATGAGAATCCATGTAAAATAAATGTTTCGAAATGTATTAAATGTTTTCTAGTATAGTATATACCTGTAAAACAGCTTTCAAAACCCACGTTTTGTCTTATTTTACCATAAACTGAATATACTGTACTGGGAATTACACATCAGGCATGTTCATTAATTTCAATTGTAAGAACATATACAGTTTGTTTTGGCGATGGCTTCGGAACACTTTCTTCGACTTAATCTTTATGAATTTCCGTTGGAATTTAACACAGAACCTCAGATTTTGTTCTTACGGTTTATGCTAGTTTATTTAGGTATGCATAGGGTAAAACAACGTTGACTTTCATGTATATCCTCTTGCTCAATTAAAACATAAACAGAGAAGCCTGCTAAAGCATTAAAAGCGCTTTGCTAAATACCTTGAGCTACCATTTACTTTGATTGGTTTCTTATCAAAGATGCCTCATTAAAGTTTCTTATCTTTTCGCCGTCGAAATTTTCGTTCTTCGACATATACTTTCGTTAAAAACTCATTAAAATTACATTTATCATCAATGTCGTCTTTGAAATAGCTCAGAATTTCACTATATCCACTTTAGAAATACACCCAGGGAGTGTTACAAGAGTTTCACAAGTAAACGACATGGGGATTTTAGTTCATGTTAGCCACGTTCTTTCCAAAGTTAATTAGCCATGCCCGATTTCTTCAATAAAGCCCTTCTGAATTAAGGATAAAACTATTTTTTGAATAGACTTTCTGTATAATAACGTGTATATGATCCCTGTTTTCAAAAAGACGTTACCTGTCCTTTCCTATATTCAAATATTTATTCACGAGTTGTTTATTGTATTCCAGGGGTGATTCTTATATCCCTGGCACTGTGTGCTGATGCCGTGATCGGCAATGTGCAAGAAAAGGCAATGGTAATGTATGATGCCCCCAATACCGAAGTGGTAAGTGCATTTTTATCTTCCTTGGCAGAAATAGAGCTTTGTTGGTCGGGCAAGTGCAGTGAATTTTCCCTGTTTCTTACAAGAACGGTATTTTCTTTTAATTATCAAATCATAATGTAGCTGATTGTGAAGAAAACTTTCTCAAAATTTGTCCAGTACACAATTAATTCCACTATCATTTACACTTTTTGTCCTTTTCTAATGTTTATTTGCTTTAAATTTCAGTATAAAGTAATTGATTTGACGATTTTTGATTTATAATAGTGTCATGAAAAAGGAAAGATATTTTCTGTTTGTAATGGTCTTTTTTTTAATTCAAGGCCAAGTATAACAAGCAAGATTTGTGTCATTGTCAGTTGAATAGAAAATAAAAAGGCTCCCTGTTTCGTATAGACTTAATGTAGAATGATAAGGATTTACGATAGAGGATTACCTAAATGGGCCTAGTTTAGTATTTCTGTAGCTGGCGACGAATTTAATCAGCTATGTAGCATACTGTGTTTCTTAATTGTAGGTTCTTTACTCTTACGGAATTGGATTTTTCTATATTCTCTTTGGTTTGCTGATTTCTGGAGGATTTTTTGAAGCATTTTCATTTTGTTTACAGGTACGCACATTTCACTTAAATGTTTTGAACGGTATCTTTCTTTGTATAGTTGCGAAGTCTTCCTGACGATTTTGAATATTTTTCGTGCTGCTAGGCGCTTAATCAGTTACTGTGTAATAGCCATGAACTGTGCATGTTTTTGAACGATAATTACCTGGAGAGAGAATTGGTGATTGAAAACCATGTCGATTTTCTCTAATTATTTATTGCTTATAAAAGAATCCGAAACGGTAAATAAACCTTTTTCGTGCACACAAGAGGGGGTTAGGCTGGCTGTTGTTTCGCAGACAAAACCCAGATAAGAAACAGTGATTGGTTAAAGCTGATAACACTCACTTCCCTTCTTTGACTTGATATCCTTTCGCAACTGGATTTGAAACAAGCTTCGGTTTTGCAGTTATTTGGGAAACAAACGTGAATGGAAGAAATTCAACTGTTAACAGCGTAACAAAGTGCGACGTCATCAAAAAAAATTATTATTTATTTTGATGATATACTCTGAAAGAAAAGCATGAAGTACCCCTGAAATTGCCAAGTCAGATAAATATGTTCAGTATTAGTGAGATGGCCAATAAAAAATTTCAGATTTGGAACAAAGATAGTTTTGAACCAAGACAAAATTTTAGTTATGAGCCAGTGTCTCAGTCATTCGACTGATTTTGCACATTTCGCAGTATTTTACAACGCGCTACAGGTTATATTGTCAAAATTTAAAATCATATAGCACATTTTATGATGTCATCAGTTTGGGATAGTACACGATCATTCTTAAACATTTTTGGTCCTCTAGTAGTCGCAAACAATGAACGAAACATGACATAAAAAACAAAACATGAAGACAATAACTGAATAGATCTGTGAAATAACACTTGATGTTTGTCATTTATGGGCCGTACTCTAACGAGTATTGGGCAATGAGCTTTCACGTATTAATGCGAAAGATCTCAGGATTTTGGTGCTATCCAGCCTGCTAGAATGCACTTTATTGCAATTCGCATAGCAGTTTCTTCATTCATCCATCTTATGCTGTGTTCATTATGGTACAATTTTCTGTTCTCTTTTCCAGCATCCTTTGAAGACTTACGGCTACGCAGTGGTTTTCTCCCTATCAGGCTACTTTGGCATCTTATATGTATTGACTCTAGTTCGACTGTTCGGTGCATTAGTAGCAGTCACAGGTGAGAATGGGTTTTTGTAACAGTGATTTAGCAAAAGTAGTTTTATTACCCCAGGAAAAATACTCTCCTCCATCAGGCAGTTGGAATCCTGTACAGACACCTTTGAGATAGATTTCACCCTCCTCATTCCAGATCAATTTTGACATCTCTCATGAATAATTGTTTTACAGGCTGGAAAAAATTTAAGCACTTAAAATAGCACAAAGTTTTGACTTTACAACTTGCAAACTTATAAATCTTTTGGGAAGTTTTTGACTTTAATCTCATTTTATGTAGCATGTCAAATTACGCCTAAAAAAGTTTCAGTTTGTTAACTTGCATTGTAAAGAGGTTATGATTCACGGTTAAATAATTTCGGTAAGGCAGGTTGCTAGATGGTTATGCAAAATTCCCTGTTGTAATGAAAGCAAACAAAATTTCAAAGAATGTCCTGTCGAAGTTTCTGCTTCTGCTTTTTCTTGTCGAAATTTCACTTATCTCGAAAAAATATGGAAAGCCTTGTATTTATCATAAGGGATTTTTTAAAAGCAAAGAAATGCAAAATTGATGGTAGGATGTTTGCTTTTCCCCATCCATGGTGCCTCTTCCCTTATTGAACATCAAACTTAGATGAAAATTTCCTACATCGTGGAACTGGAAAGTATATCCACTACACTCTTTCTTTGTAAAAGCCAGTAAAATTAAGTTCAGGCGGACTGTTTTTAATTTTTTCGAAAATCTGAGACTGGACTATTCTTAATTTGTTTTTAAATCAAAAGGGCGCAAGCAGTGCGATTGCTAGCTTTTTCGCTCTAGGGAGGTGTTCAGGCCTTATTAGCCAACAAAGTGAGTGAGACAATCTTGATTTGCCGACAAGATTGAAAATTCACTAAAAAGGACCCTCGCATGGCTAAAATCTTCTTTTTGAGATAAAACATTGTTCAAAATTGCATTTTACAGAGCTCAGCCTCATATTGTTCTTAATTTGTTCTTACCTTTCGACTATTTTTGAGGTTCGTGTTCTCATAAAATTGTTTTTATTGTTTTTAAAAGTGTATGAAATAGTTTATGAGGCTGAGTTTCTTAGGGTTGCCAATTGGCCTTTTTCAGGCCAAATTTTCCTATTTTGGCCTTCTTCAGAATTAAATTGCCTGGGAAATTCGTTTTTGGTATATTACTTAAATTTGGCCTTAATGGCCTCTTCAGCCGAGATTTCGCGGACATTTCTTTGTTTTATATGACTTAGCAATACTACGGTGTAGACCTTAATTTCAAGTATTATCGCCAAATGTAATGACTACCAAAGACTTCTTTTGAAGGAGGAAGGTTCTCAGTTTCATTTTGAGTTTTAGAAGCTTTTTAAAGGCCGCTTGCGCAGTGTACTTTTTGGGGGTTGTTTTGATTTGGTCTGCTCATGCGCATTTTTGACTAAGTTTGTCACCCATCTGGACTTCGTCTGTAAACCTCATCTGGCAACCCCCGTTTTCTAATAACATCAACCTAACCTCCCTGAACGTAAACAAACCGAGTTGTCGTCCTTGTCTTCCGTTTTTTCTAAAACAGTTAGAGTGCTTTTGTCCTTCTTTTCCATCCATTGATTATCGCTATTCATATAACTAACTCTTCACTTTTCTATCCCCTCAGCATTCATTCTAATTTTTTTGATTACTTTTATGTAAGACTACCACTGTTTGGTTTCCGGAGTAGGGCAAGGCTACTTACGAAACATAATGTTTGAGGCCTTACACCTAAAAAGGGCCAAATAATTCATAGTTACCGCTTCCTATTGTGAGTAAACTAGTATTTCAGTTTTAAACGCAAAAACTCAAAAAATATATTCCTTGTATTTAAGTATCGATGATTTTGCTAGTGAGGTTTTTTATATTTTAGTGACTACATGTCGCAAGGCAGTGACAATTGTCATTTCATTTATTTTCTTCACAAAGCCATTTTCCTTCACGTGAGTATTTGACTTTGTTATTTTTTTGATTGATGCGAAAATGTTGATTTGCTGCAAAGTAGCATTTTGAGGCTACAGAAGGCTACAAATTATGTAAGTGTGTGAGTTGAGACAATTTTTTTATGGAAAATATATTTCCCAATTTTGATGCCATAAAACATTTAATGTATTTGAATTCTGACCAAAAAACTTGAAAAAAAACCATAAATTATCTCTAAAAGAGCAATAAAATCAGTTAAATTGGCTGCAAAGTGAAGGAGAGATACAAAGCAAAAGAACTGAGCAAAAATATATGATAAAGTCATTTCTCTGCCAATTTGTAACTGTTTCAATTTTAAGTTCAATGCTGTTTTGTGCAGTTAGTTCTTGTCTTTTGTTGGTTGTGTTTTGAATTGTATTATTTTGCCTTAGAGTGTTGAATAGACAATTAAGTATCCATGGAGTTAATAGCCCAAAGAGGACTGGTTGTCGTTTCTCATTTTCTTTAAGGAAAACTAGTAGAGTTGTTCTTGAGTTGAAGTTTAGGAGCATGTTGTGGAAGTCGTCTTTGGAATGAAAATCAGCTATTAATTTGCTATATTTGGTCATAAATCAATTTTTGCAATTTGTTCCTACTCTTGACAGTAAAACATTCAACTTGTTTGCACAACTAGAGGACCTCAAAATACTCTCTACCATTTTGTTGTCCTATTTCTCAAAAAAGATTTCTACAACATCATTTCTTTTGAACTCTATCTTTTCAATATCTTTCCATGCCTTAGAAAAAACGAAACTTGTTCAATTAGTTTCTATGTAAATAAATTTAATCTTTTCAGATATGTTTGGGCTGGTCTGGTTGTTCTACTTGGAATCGCAATAAATATTTATCAAAAGAACAAAAGCAAGATAAATTATATATTGTGGCATATTTTTAGTTTAGCATTGATTAAAACTCAAACCCTTCTTTATCCAAGAAAACAGAACGTTCTTGAGATTTGATGTGTTGTAAGTATTTTAACTTCGAAACTTAATAAATTATTAAATTTTATGAGTCTTTCCTTTGACCAGTTTTTGTTTCCACTGTAATAATTTGTGTGTCAGCAGAGAGTCAACAAATCTTGTTACTTTTCTAAGAAATGAATTTTTTAACACAAAATGATCAATCAAAAAACTTGACTTATTCATAATTTTGAATTAAAACTTTTTTCATAATTGAAAACGTTTGTACCAATAGAGCATCATGAACCCTCACCTCCAAATACCTCTTGAGTCTATGTTTTTCTTAACCAATTTTAACATCTCTATTTCACCTTCTATTGTTCTTTCTTTCTCTAATTTGTGAAACATCTGAGACCAAATGGTTTGATATTTATCTCATCATTTTCAAAGATCTTTAGCCACCAAGATCCTGTGTCTAAACTTAAATGGACCTTACCTAATGGAACTTATCAATTTTGATATTTCCCCAAATTTTCTAAAAATTTACCTTATAAGGTTTTGCTTTGGGTCGTTTGATTTGAAATGGCTCAGTAGATCTTTATACATCATTTTATATGGCAACTTGCAAGGTACACAACAAACAGCAAGAGAAACACATTGAATCAACAAGATCAAGAATATCACTTTACTGTAATAGCAAGGATATCGCTTTGTACACAAGCTTACTTCTGCTGAGTACTTTGTATTGCCTCAGCCATGTACAACTTTGTAAAACTTTGAGAGGCAAACTGGGTAAGCTCTTGACAATAATTGTTAATTTGAGAGTTGACTAAGGTATTGTCCAATCTTGATGGTGGTGGTATGGGTCGGAACACTTTGGTCATGTCTTCTTCTGGTAATGGTTGTTCACCGCGTTTTATTCTTTGATCATTTTCGGCAGCCTGAAAATCAAAATAAGCATATTAACAAAACAATTCAAGGAGAGTGTCAGAAAAATATGTAATTCAGAAACTTGTCAGAAATATGTTCATGCTATTCTGTGCAAAAATAGATTATCATCTATTGTTTTTCTATACTATTGTATTGTACAACAGTGCAAGTCTATTCTGCCTATTGGAGGGAGAATTTGTTCAAATGAGTTACATACCCTCTTTGCTTTGTAACCATCTATTTGCTGCTGCTGTCTTGAGTTATTCCTTTGGTAATTGTGCAGCTTTTGTGCATCCTGACAAAGTTCATCAGCACCTTCCATAAGAAGCTGTACACTTTTCTCAAGGTAGGACCTGAAGCAAAAAAGGATTTTAACATATTTGTTTAGAGGAAAGTCTCAAAAAGAAGATTAAAAATGGTAAACGCTCATGTATAAAACTAAACTTTGAGTGCTCGAGAACTTTATTTGAAACAAAAGAAACAAATAAAAACAGAAAGAGAAGGTCTTTATTGAGAACTGGCAAGTTACAAAAGAGAAATTGCAGAACAGATAGATACTAAAACCCAGTAAAGCTTCTGTTACTGCAAAATTTGAAGATAGCATGGAATTTGGAAACATATCATAATCAGGTAGGTACTTTTTTCTGAAAACTTTGAAACAGTTAGTAAAAACTCACCCGGTTGCAAGGCTAAGAAATGAGTCCTTATCTTTAATATTGGACATTTCTTCAATTTCACAGAGAAGAATACATGCAAGATTTGAATTTTTGATTATGACTGGAACCTCTTCAAAAAGATTGTCATAACTTACACCTCTCTTTGCCAAACTGAAAGACAAAAGAAAATAAAAACGTTGCTGGCTTCAATAGGACAAAACTGTATTGTTTTTGTCTCTGTGTGGTAGATAGGCCTGGCCTTAAAGTTTCAGACTAAATGCAGTCACAAATACCAGATTTTTGGGTAACATTATATTACGATATTATACCTTATGGATGTGGACAGTTTCAGGTACCTAAAGGTATTTATTTGAAATAGTTATGCTTTGTATATATGATGTTTTATGTTCTCGCCACATCATTGTGATCATCAAGTTTTAGGAACAATTAATGAGCATAACACTGAGCAAGAAACTCAATGAATCTCTAACAGGAACATTTATTTTGTACCATGGACAATGGATCTCCATGTATTTCATCACAAAGTTTTTATTTCCAGCTTAAATTGTCTGCATAACATGTAATCAATTTTACAATATTGTGCCCTGTAGGAATTGTGTTCTTACCCATCTGGTGTGAATGCTTTTTCACCACTGCGATATAACTCCATTAGAAGAGGGGTTAATCTGTAAGCTTTAAATGATAACATTCCTTGCAGAGTCTTTAGTGGATCTAAAAAGTAAATTGAAAACATAATTTCAGTTTTTAGACCATTTTACATTATATGCTTCATCATTCACTTACACTTATTGTTCATGTAATTGTGGCTACAGGATGATTAGTTTTGCCAAATAAACTGACTACACTGTAGAAGGAAAGAGAGTTGGGAGGCAATAACTGAAAGACTTGACCAAAAACATCAAATTTTCTTTCACTAATTGTGAAATCAAGTAAACATTTCAATATAAAACAAACAAGTACATTCTTCAATAAACCTACAGACTTGATAAAAAAAACAATGTGAACTCACCATAGACCAAAACAACAGATTCTTCAATAGAGCTTTGATAGTTGTACTGTGCTTCTACGAAATTCTTATTCAAGAAAGAACCAAGGTAAGTTGATTGATACCAGCCAACATGAAGGTGATCAACATTGACTTCTCTCAATTTTCTCATCATTTCCATTTGATATTGCACTAGAATGATACATATTACGTGAAGCAGGATAGACTTAATATTTTAATTAATGAATACAAGAAATGTATAACTGTAAATAAACTTAAGGTGATTAAACACATCCAGATATTTTATCTGGTAGAATATTCATGTTGAACATGATCAGATAAACAAATATTACTTGCAGATTCTATGGCAGATTCTTAGTTATATGCAGGCGGGATTGAAAGGTAACAATTTCTGCGAGCTCTCAAAAAGACTACACTACAAACAGTCTTGACCATCTAGATTCTAAATAAAAAATTCAAGGAAGTAGCATTTGATTATTCAAATAGATTGATTCATCAAGATTGGAAACAGAAAAGCAAGTTAGATGATATAAACCTTCACTGCTCTCGTCATCTTCCGATCTTGGGAACGGGAAGCAATTTGTGATTTCTAGTTTTTTATCAACGACAAGTCCAAGTAGGACGCCCTGGGCGATTTCACTCGGGCCTTCTTCATAGCAATGCCGAATGATTTTTAAAGCAACCTGAAAAAATCGTTTATTATGTTAACATCAAGTAAAACACCATTTAACTTCTATGATAAGGGTATTTTTAAATGTACATGGACCTAAATAAAAATTGGGAAGGAACTACATGAAACTATAGAGCTTAATCAGCTATCTATATAAACAATAAACGAAGAGAAGTTTGTTGCTCATTTTTTTAGGCGATAAGAAGGTTTTGTGATTACCAATCCTTCAATTTGTACAGCCTCCACGTGAGGATGTTCTTTGTCGCTCTGTCGCGATTGGTCCGCCATTTTGGAAAGGAAACACAGATGCGGGTAGCCTCTCTTTCATCATGAATACGAGATTGAATAGAAAGAGTTAGAAGATGCAGGAAAAACATCTCTCGAATCCCGAGTTTAAATGGTAACTAAATAGAAGTTCATGCTTCCATACAAAAGTGAAAATGATGACAACTTCAAATGCAAACAATCTTTGGATGGGAGATGTAAGTTTAAGATAATTGCGGCATATATTTTCGATTACTGCTTTCAGTCTGATCTGATGGTAGCAACATTTCTCACGTGGACACTTCATTTTAGAACCTTCGTGAGGAATTACTATATACCTGAATTATTTTCCAGAATAAAGATTAACCAGGTTTTTTTAAAATAACAAGGCTGTTTGTGACATAGATATTTTTTCTGATAATACATTCACAAGGGAGCCAGAAAATATAAATATTGACTTTTTCTACCATAGGTAGGGATATCTTGAAATTTAGGTTTAAAACTTATGTGTGTAGATATCAGCTGAGACCTGTAAACATGATACTTTATGCAAATATACAATATCATACCTAGGGCCCAGGGGTGTTGTGATGATATGGGAGCTGAGTCAAAATAATTGGGCCCAATTATCAAGGCAAAAAGGAACCAATTTCTATTTTTGCTACTATTTTACCAAAATATTTTGCACTCCTCATAAAGTTGAACAAAGCCTTGAAATAGTGGGCCTTGGGTTTCTTAGGAGCTTGTTTTATGGAACACTTTCATTTTGCTTAGGGCAAGGCCCTGTTCTTCTGCGTGAGACCGGTTCTTCTACGCTCAAGGTCGAGAGGCGAATTCAGTCTTTGGAAGTCTTGTGCAATAATATCCGTTAAAATCAAAGACTGAATTCACCCCTCAGCCTCGAGCGTAGAAGAACCGGTGAGATCTACCTCTAGACAATAAAATTGTGTACCACGCATGCAGTATATCAAAGGAATCAAATGTAGTTAGGGCCTGTCATGAGGATTAGCTCCTGCCAACATGCAAATTTTCTGATCAGGAATTTCATGGCAAATACAGGGCCTTGATTGGCTGAAACGGTTCAAGCTGATTTTTCCGCCAGTATTGTCTTTCATTGCGATCGATCTTGTTAATACTCATTTTTCCTTCTCCTTCGTGCATGGATTTTCTCCTCAGAATATGGATCGCGTTCATAGCTAAAGTTCAAGATTTACCCTGCAAGTTATCAATTTGTTGTGATATGCAGTTACTCACTTGGTTGCTGTGGAGAAGTGCATATTCAACACCCTATGTGGTATCATTACACCTTGAACTTTGTTGTTATGTCTTATCATAAGTAGATTTAAGATATTTTGAGCAAAGCTCTTAGCCTTGTTTGGTAATAAAGGGTCTCTTTATTTGAAGCTGGAGCCATTCATGGATGAGATGTTTATTACCAGTGCATTTGCAGCCATGGGGGAAACTGTTGTCAATGTCAAACTCATGAAAAATAAATCAACTGGGTGAGAAGTACTTTTGTCTCTAATCAGGACATTCTGTTCCTAGGAGCTGGTTCAATTACTTAAGTTTTAAGTTTGGTTCTGTCAACTAAATAATCTGAAGTTTATTTAAGCCCAGTTTGGTTTTTGTATTATTGCAAAAAACGTATGTACATATGGACACAGTGGTGGTTTTTGGGAATGGAGGCCCTTATTCTATGCAATTTTTTTCTGTTTTCTTAGATGCAGGGCCTTTTCTGGCTACTATATGCACAGAGCCTTGGGCTAAACCCAGTCCTGGTAATATGAAATTTGGCGGTGTGCTAGTAATCGCACGCCTTGAAAAGTTTAGGCATGCGGTGGCATGCGATGGTGTGCGATCAATAAAAAAGAGAGACCTAACGATTTTTGTATAAGAATTTGTGTATCACTGCTTGAAAAAGCGTATGAGGTTTTCGTAAAGCCAAAAAGGTTTTATAGAATTTTAGAAGAAGTTACTTGAAAACAAAATAATTTAACAAAAAGGATGCAAGTTTTTTAGGCTCTGTTGCCATTACTCCGTTTTCGTATGATTCGAGTGAATCTGTTTTCGAATTTGAGTTTCATTAATACGCTCAAATACGGTGTCATTTGATACCAAACCGAAGTTATTCAAAAATGCTATTCAAAGTGGAGTCATCCGAAAACGGAATCATTTGAATATGTGTTGTTTTATTTGGAACAGCGAAGACAATTTGGAACAGAGTCATTCAATCTCAGTTTCAAAAAGAGCTCCTGCTAAGGATATAATAACGGACAAATATGGAGTAATGGAAACACCCACATTATCGTTTTGACCAAACAGAGTGGCCCGGGGCAATGTGTTCAGGAAAATAAGAAAAAAACGGAGAGAGAGAACGGAGACATACAACAACGGAGTAACGGAATAACGGAGTAAGGGAAACCAGGCCTAATGGAAACGAAGTAAAGAGTTAAAATGCCTCCGGGAATGCCATCAATATAACCCACACAAAAAAAATTAAAAGAATCAAAAGAGAAAAAGAATAGTAATTCAAAACATGGAACTGCGCGTGCCATAGAAAGCACACCTCAGGAGTTCTAGGCGTGTGCGGAGGTGTGAGCGTCTGATCATATGCCTAATATTACCAAGACTGAAGGCCCCCTTAAAACCACCACTGTATCTAGGTTGTTTTGACTGAGTGGTTCAAATCAAGAACTAAAAGCTTAAAAATCTCCAAAACTATTACACTGTGTAATTTGTCTTTCAATTATAAATGTTTAATGAAAGTTAATTTTGAATCTAGGGCAAATGCTGGCTATTGCTTTGTCGAGTTTGAAAATGGATCAGTAGCAGATGCTGTATTGAAAAAGTTGAATGGTCTTCCTGTTCCTGGTACCAATCCAGTAAGATATAAACATTATTTTCAATTTCATCTGAACCTCTCAAGCATTTTGTGCTGAGATATCCTTGTTTACACATTTCACATAAAAAGCTCTGTTTCTACAGCGTCAAACATGGACAGCAGGCTAATAAATTGAAAGCTTTGTTATTTCCAAAGTTTTTCTTATTTTGAATGCCAGTTAATTTCTCAGTAATATGTCCCAATTGTTTTCATATAATGTTATTAGAAATATCATTAGTTGAAACCTGGGTCTTGTTGTTGTTTGTTATATTTATGTGTGTTCAGAAAATAGTTGATGCTCGTCAGACTATTTGGTTGTGTAAACTTTTCAGTTGATCTTTTTTCCTTCAGATTAAAAGATTCAAGCTTAATTATGCTGTATATGGAAAAGACCATGGCCAGTAAGGAGTTCAAAGTTTAAAATTCATTAACAAAGAATGGTTATTTTAACAATTGGACTATTGGTTTCGTGCCAGAAGTTGAATATGACTAATTTCATATTAAGCCCCTTTAATTTATTTGATATGACCAACAATTGCACAGTTGTTGAATCTCTCATGTATTCCCTTTTGAGTCTTTTATCATCATGTTTCGAGAATCCAGAGAATTAAAGCCCAAGAGATGGATTTTTCCTGAAATCATCATGTTTGTTTTGTAATGGAGCAATGGATTTTCTGGAAATTATCAAATTGTGAAATTTTGTGTTGCAGTAGGACTTTCTATTATTTTTTGCCATTGTTGATATCTCAGGTTTCTTAAGATTCCTTTTAAATTGAATTTCAAGAAATGGTTTGTTTTCTATTTTTTGGCATTAAGTAAATTAACAGTGTCATACTTCTATTTGTTTTTCTCTAAAATGAAGAATTGGATAGTCATTATTATTTGAATTTCTTCAAGGGGAACTGAATATTCATTGTATGTTGGTGATCTTACATCAAATGTGACTGACTATATGATGTTGGTATGTTTCCTGTATGTTAACTCATTCACTCCCATAGCAACTATAGTTGTCATCCCCCGCTAACAATTTGAGAACAATAGCCCCTGTAGTTGTCACGCATTTTCTTCCGTTGTTTTAAAATTGCAACTACGTCATCATTGATAAACAATTGGTACTTTTATGAAAACCATAATTTGATTGACTGATTTAAACTTTGTAGTAAGCACTCAAAAAATGAACCAATTATGGTTGTAAAATAAGTCTTTGGTACCACAAAACAAATTTAAGATAACATGGAAAAGCTGAACCATAGCAACGTAATTTCCAGCTAACACTTCTCCTCAGAGTAAACATCGGATAATGACGTAAGATTTGTATCATTGCTCTTTTTTGACTCCTGGTAGTTTTTAAATTCAGCACCTAGTTTAATACAGGTAGTTGCAATTCGTAGGTTTTTGAGCAAGAAAATGTGGCTACCCTTTGAGCAGTTCAACAATTGAAAATTGTTGAGCAGATAATTTTTTTATTTTTTCTCTTGATGATTTTTATTTAGTCATAGCCAAGTTTTTGTGATTTTAAAAAAATATTTGTCTATAGGCACAGAACAGTGCGATGTAAAAAGAGAATCTTGCTCATCTTTCAAGTTTCACTGAGTTGATATCTCTGCACAATGCTTGTATATTCTTAATGAAAATATTGAGCTGTAGAGGGTTTTTGTAATTTGAAGTTTCTGTGCTCAAACTAATTAAGGGCATCAAAGTTCTAAATATACTTTCATAATTAACATAATTAACTACTAATTATGTAAGTGGTTAACATAATTAACAAACGGAGCAGATTTTACTTCGCCAATCTTATTTTGAAACTTCCTGTTAATGCACAATTAACATATTTTAGGCCTTCTTCCAAGCTCGGTATCAGTCAGTTCGTGCTGCAAAAGGTGTGTCTTTTATTGCATTTGTTTACTTCATATTACAATTTACATCACAAAGTTAGATGCGTTTTATCAACTATGAATATTCCCCTTATTATTGCTTTCTTATAAAACTTTAATTTGAAAGATGCAGATTTTTTGCCCCATTTTCTTGCTAAAACATTGGAATTCTTCTCATCTCGCAGTTTTGTAATAGATCTGCATAAAAACGATAAAGCTGTTGTTGTGTAGACAGGACAAAGTTTGTTTTCTTCCTCGAACTCTAGTGGTGATTCTTCTATAGGCACAAGGTACTGATTGGTCAACTATACCGGTCTTGTGCTTGCGTTTTTCTGATTGGCCTATTTTGATACACAACTGGGTATATATTTTCCATCGTGTTCTTTCGGACCCTTATTCTGACCTTTTATACTCTGAGGAGTGTCAGACGAAAATGTTTTTTTTTCAAAGCCTTTCTTACATTTTGTACTGTCATAAAATTTTTTCAAGTTATACTTTCTTAAATTATCTGTGGATTTATTTTGTCTTTCTTTTCTCACCTTCAATCTTTCTTTTATTTACAGTTGTTACAGATGCTTCAGGAAAGTCGAAGTAAGTTTAAAAATTGCTTTTTTTGTTTTTCTTTATTCATTTGTATGCCCCTTCTATGAACTCTTTTGGTTTGTTTTGCAAAGGAAGAATCATTAAGATCTCAGAATACTTGACACCGTTTTAATTAAAATATATTTAACGAACTAATGACGTGAAAAAGTCTTCAGTGTCGCTTGACAGCTCTTCGTTAAACATAAAAGGTCATTCTCGGAACCAACAAATAACTATTTCGTAAAGCTGATGTCCACATAAAGTTCAAGAAATCGTTAGAATCGAGACAATGTATAATTGATGCTGGACAAACAGTAACCTGGTGACAATCCTAAAACAACCTGTTTTTGCTTAATTTTGTATGTCACAATCACATAGAATGATTAATGAACACTAGAAGTGCTTTTTACATAAGCTCTCTAGCAAATCAATAGCCATATTAGTTTAGCCAGTGATGGTTCTATAGGAATAATATTTAAACAGATTTTCTAATGCTTAGGCAAGCCAGTTTGCGATTCTCTCACTCAGAAGAAAATTAAAGTTGGCTACAGAAGCAAGATTCGTTTATGTTAAAACTGTTAAGTTGTTCTGTAGAAGAATCTAGATTCCAATTGTTCAGGGCTATTATTCTATCCGTTAGTCTGTCCCAGTGAGATTGTGCATCATATACACATGCGCATTAGGACAAGTGCTTATGAACAAAGGTTACATCTCATTGCTCTTCATTTAATCGAAGCTGTTACATATCATAGTTACGTAATGTAAATCAATGTGTTCCTATAAGTCTGCGCCTCAAGGGACCATTTTCTCTAATTTTCTTCGTCTTTTGATTCAAGACTGGCTTATTCCTGCAAGTGCCATGAATGTTCCAACCACACAATGCATTACCCGATGTGAAAATAGATTCCGCGATTTTGATTGCGTATATGCATATGGGGCAAAATTTTAAAGCCAACAGATCTTTGGACAAATGCTGGTTCTTCTCCCCAACAATAAGCAAGAGAGTACATTGTGGAACTAAGATAGGGTACAAGACTATCTCTGGCTTGTTACAAGCATTTTAGAGATATGGCTCTTCATTTAATGTTGGGACAATCTCTCATCATGATAAGGTAGTTATGTACTGTATAATGTAGGTACTGAAGTCTCAAATGCAACCAAAGGTCACCTTCTTGAATATAGGCTGCCATAGAAGTTAGCTATTTGGATTGTTTATCTTGTGTTTAACCCGCTATATATTTCAATCTGTCATTGAATAATGTATAACTTTTATAAAGCAAGGTCTTTCCCTTAGTCATGAAGTAAAATATTGAAGAAACAATACCTGCGGTGATAAATCAACGTTATGACTATAGGTGTTTCAGTTGCCACAAAGCAAGCGAAATTGCGAAATTCGTCATCCCTTTGAACCCTCAACTAGGTCCAAAACAACTTTCTACTAAGAGTGGGTTCATGAAATTACTTGGATCTCAAAGAGGGATTTATACTGCTCCCAAATGCTCCAATTGACCCTTACAGCCTTTTATCTCCAGGTTTTTACATTGCCCACTAAAATGTTGGCAGTTGCGGCTTAACAGCCTCCATGAACAGTTTTGGTCAGATTTTATTTTTTCAAAGCTTCATAATCTTATTGGACGTAAGGCCTCGTTTTCATGGTAGACTCTGGGCTGTGGTTTTGGTATATGCTATGCTAGGCCATAACGATTCATATGCGGGAAGCGTCACACGAAATGTAAATAAAATATGTTTATCGCACGATAACAATGCCTGACAATGACGCAGCTTAAAACTAGCAACAATGTCGATGTTTTGTGAAACTTAAAAGCAGAACTTGCAACAGGAAACTGGATTAAAGATTCAAATGCAAACAAGATTTGTATTAAGATTATTCAAACCGAGGTCATTTTTTGGCTGCTGTGAACCATTCATTTGTATCTACTAAAGATGAAAAGATTCAATTGAAATTTTTCCTTTACAAATGACAATTTGGCTTAATCGGTTTTTTCACAAAGCCCTGGCCCTTTTACCGTATTTCCACAACACTTTTTTGCCACATTGCCTCTTTGATCATGCCAATCCCAGTATTATTTCTAGGCGTAAAAAAGACGTTTCACCAGCCATTTTAAAAATGAACAATATCTAACTTTGAAGCTGTGTTACATTTGTTTGGTTAAAATGGTCCACGTTTGTATTCCAAATATTTATCTCCAAACTTCCTTTCTAAATTGTATATGATGATGATTGTGAACAAAATTTAGCACAGACATAGACACTACGCAAAGAAGATTTAAAAAGCTTAGAGGCATGTGAGGTTTTGAGACGGGTTTTAAGGTTTCCTTGAGCGAAAGAATAACAAAATATGAAATATTACCAAGGATTGGAATGAAAAGATCTATTATAGACAACATTTCCAGCACGAAGAAACAATGAATAGGGAATACGCTCAGACATGACTGCTTATTGAAAACGGCCATTGAAGGTGAATGCAAGGGAAAAGGACTATGAGAAGAAAAATAATGCAAATGCTGGATAACATAAAATGAACAGTATGTTAACTTGAAACGAACGGCGGGGAAGTGACTGGTTTGAACAGAACCTGCTGTCTGGCAGAACACTAAGAGGGAGAGAGAGAGACATGAATGAAATATGCAGAATAAAGATCATTTCACACGGGGCTCTACCCGTCTAAAAAGCCATTCATTTTCATCCTCTAGAAGAGCAATATTACTGAAAAAGGTACATAATAAAACTCCTGATAACACACAGCAAGGTTTAAGTTCAGGATTTTATCAGAACAATGCTCTTTAAATATTTTATCCAGTTAATAATCCCAAGTCTATTTTTGACACTGTTTCTGTGTCAACTAAAGAAAATAAATTTTCGACGACATATTTAATGTTGATCATAATAATCATCATAACAGTTGTTGATCATAATCATCATCATAACACTTTTACACAATTCAACAAAAACGCTACTTTTTGCAATGTAATTAGAGAGTATTTCCCATTTTGCTATCGATCACCTAAAAAAATATTAATTTTGCCTTTGACGAAAGCTTAAAGCCAAAACAGAAAAGAGAACTTCCTTGGCTACGATAAAATCTACCAGGTTGGCTTCAAGAATTCTTTTCTTACTGAGCCATTTAGGACAATGGAATGAGCGTTGGTTTTTGAGGCAGCAAACTGGAGTTCGATTCTGAGCAAGAGTGGCTCGATACAAGTTGGGCAGCACCCTTATGGGAAGAATTTTTCTCATGTCAGTCATTGCCTCCTGAATATATATGTGTGGCTGCTGCTTTAGCAGCAAGCGCTCTCTTCAGCGCATTTCACTGCTGTGCCTATTCAGTTTGAAATGCTGTGGAGTGGTTTTGGGGAGCCCTGCACCCTTTGTTAAAGTTCAGAGCGATTTGTAGAAGATCAGTCTTCCATACCAACCGAACAAATGTTTGGTTGAACGAATTCTGTGTCGGGAACCCTTTATTTGGGTCAGCCTTCTAGAGTCATTGAATTGTTTGTAATTTCGTACACACAACAGTGAATCTTTTACACAAGTTAAATTATACTGGGTTTGGCCTACAGCACAACCCCCACCTAACTTTTGGAACGGTACCCCTGTATCCAATATAGTGTGAACGGGGCTCAAATTTTTAACTGATTATCCCAAGAATAGCTTATTGATATTCTTTTGTTTTTTCGCTGTTTTTTCCTATCTTTCTATGATCACAATGCGATTATTCATCTGCTTGATAACTGTCACTAGCTTTATTGTTGTATTTATCCTACCATTTCCTTTTAAATCCAGGCGTTTTGGTTTCGTTCGTTTCTTTGACGAAAGTGAACACCGGAGGGCGTTGTATGAGATGCAGGGAGCCGTTGGATTAGGAAGCAAGCCTATCAAGGTGAATGCAGCAGTGCAGAAAGGGTAAGGATCTTTAGTTTCTTACCCTCTAACATGTATTTTATAGTATCTATCGAGGGGAACTGTTTCCTGGTGAGCGCATTTGATGAGAGCGCTAAACAGAGTAGCAACTTAAAACTGTTTGTGACTGTCCCATACTTTTGCGCGTACAACTCTGTCAGTACTGCATGAAGCATTTTCATTTTATCCTAACAAATAAGAGAGTATTTTTCAACAAGCAAAAGTTGGAGGGTACATGAAAGTTTCTCTCGATGTTTGTATCTTACTCGGCCAAAAGCTAAGCGATTTTTGCCAGAGAATGAAGTACAAAAATGTAAAGAGGACCATTTATTAAAATGTGAATAGGATACCGGGATCTGCCTGCTCATGTTCATTGACAATGGCTTTTTTGTAATCTGTTTCTCCGCCGATCCACATCCACATTAAGAGAAAATGCTTGTTCCTTTTTAATTATCGGTCTTCTCACATTTTGAACAGGGTGAAACTTTTAAAAAGAGCCCTAATCTTTATCTCTATTTGCATCTGTTAGCGGGCATTGATTTAAAATCTTCCATTTTGGTCGATGCAAAGTCCGTCTGCACTTAATAAAACGTAAATTGAGACGTAAATTCACTAAAGGTTTCAAGACCAGACCGACGGCTTTCGAAATCTTTGCCTTATCGTGTTGGTGAGACGTTTCCTTGACACAATAGAACATCTTAGTTGCCTGGGAATACAGTTAAACTTCGCAGATAAGAGCGTTCTTGCTGCAGATTAGTCTTGCTTTTGAGGGGTAAAGTAGGGACCAAAGGGTCCACTACTCAACGACAAGCTCTTATATAAAGGCTGTCTTTTGATGCAAAACTTCTCGTTGAGACCTGAGAAAAGTGTTTCTTAATGACACCTGATGGTTTCAGGTACAAAGCTTTTTAGAAATAATGATATTTAGGATTCTATCTGCTTATACCGTCTTTGCGGATATCACTTGTATTAGGGTCTAACCACGGATGTAGCTTGTAGAACTATGGTTATTTTGCCTGTTCTGTTTTGATATCACTATTCGTAGGTCAAAGAGCACCTTGAAACGAAACTCTCAACATATATTATAAATATTTTGTTTATTCGCTTTTGTATGGTAGTAAGGACTTTTCTTTTTATTGTTTATAGGGATTAAGGATGTTATAGGGATTAGACTGTTTTGAGAATTTGGTTTTTCATAATGAATTGAATTTGTAGTTTAGGATTTGCGTTACGATAGTGAAAGCAGAGTTTTATTCTCGAAAGTTCTTCATGCATTCTGTTTACAATGTATAATTTTTTAATGGCATAATACAGTAATACGGTAGGTTCCCGCATATAAGAAACCACTTTTTAAATTGAGGCCTCAAAACGTTTCTTATTTCAAGATACCTTATAAAAGGAGCCCTTTGGAAGGAATTTGAGGCTGGTTTCTTATACAAGGGGGTTTCTTATACGCGGGAACCTACTGTATATATATTAAGATATATTAAACACGATGATTTCTGATGATAAACACCACACTGCTTCTTCTTTAGTCCCCATTTTTGCAATTGACTAAGTAAAGGCACAAAATTGTCAACGAATTCTGTTGCAATTTGTTTTGTTGACTGTTGTGTTTTATTTGTTTACATTCTCATTATTCTTCGTTTATAGTTTAGTTCTCATTTTGAAATGATCGATGGTATTTTTGTAGAAAGAACTGATGTAGTAAGCATTTTAAGCTTATAGGGATAGGAAGCGGTCGTCTATAATGTGAGCAAGGTGAACAGTGATTGTAAAGAACAAACCAATTTAAAAAAACAGAACTAAAATCGTAACTTTGTGGACAAAGTCCGAAATATTTTGTGGATGGAGAAGGTCATGGCGTGACCCTATTTAGCCTAAAGTGAAACTAGAATAAACTGTTTTTAAATGTAGGTCGGGTATATTCTGAAATTTATTTCAACAAGGCGTAGTTATCTTAACACGTGTCACCTTGGAGCCTGCAACGCGAAATTTATGATGTTGTTTTCTCAAGAAAGTTTTCTCTATCTTCTAGGTCTAGAAACACTGTTTAAACAAGTGATTCTGCCATTAGTCAACATCTTTTAGACAACCCAGATTGTGCTAAACTCTATAATGACGACATGATTCGGATAATTGGTAGAGCCCGGTCGTCTCTCCATCCAGCAATTTTGGAATCGATCTACATACAAACGAAAAAGCCGCCATTGTGTAGACAGAAGGAGTTCGTTTTCTCTCTTGGACTCCAGTTGTAATTTTTCTTTGGGCACGCGGCACTGATTGGTCAACTATACCGGTCCTGTGCTTGCGTTTTTCCGATTGGCCTATTTCGATCCACAACTGGGTATATATTTTTCATCGTGTCCTTTCGGACCCTTATTCTGACGTTTTATGCTCTGAGGAGTGTAAGTTGTTGCTTGTGCATCCCTGTGAAAACTGCATTTTAAGTGGTTCTGTTGATCCATCAATGATAAAATCACATGATAAAAATATGAATGAGTAAGCAGACTTAGGGATCTGACATCGGACAGCGTGTCGCATGAAAATGAAATATTCATATGGATAATCAAAACAATGGCTCGTTCCAGGTCGAGATTTAGTGTGTGGCATATTGTCATGGAGGAAGGGGCAGAACTTTGTCTATGCACCTCATAACTCTGTTATTTATGAAGTGTTGATAAAATGCCAGCAGAAAGATCTTGAGTTAGAATTGCATGATATTGTTAGATAGAATTTGAACCAGATCAAGAGACGTGTTGGTATATATTTTCCTGATGGAAGGAGCAGTCAGCACATTTGTACTTGGCTGTCGTTTTTTAAGAAAGTCACATTCTTGTGAGTTGCCTCGAAGCCATTCAAAACCTTTTAAGAGGGGAGGGACTAAGAGACTTGGTAGGGGTACTGCTTTGCTACTGGAATTTTGCACCCATTAAAGTAATGGATGGCTGTCAGTAGGAATCATTCCAGTATTATACTTAATAACCTGTGTGACTATATGAATCATAATTGCTTTTGAGTTCTTGAAAAAGTAAAGAGTGTCCTTTTTGTTCATTGAGCTCCATTTATCACTTCATTTGCTTGGGTGTATGGAAGAGGGCGGTGCTAAGTTCAAATCCCGAGCTTTGCGCTTATTTCATTTTCAGGCAAAAGCTAGAAACCGCGCAAAACTCATTCTTATACAGCAGCAATCATTCTGTTGCAGAGCTTTTCTGTTGAACGCTCGGTGTTTCGTCCCAACAACTTTCACTCTTCTGCGTGTTGCCACGCGGGATGTCCTGTGTGACATAGCCTCTTTACATTATCACTTCAGTCGAGTACTCAGAGGCCTGTTTGTCAATAGAACTTCACAACTTAGGATTTCGATGCTCTCTTTTTGCAGCCAGTCAAAACAATCGAATGATGCATCATCGATGAATCAATATTACCAGCAATATCAACAACAATATCAACAGTATTTGTCGTATTATCAACAAACTGGAGCCTACCAACAACAAAGTGGATCAGGCCAGTATTACTCGCAACATTACGGACACCAGGGACAAACGGTACGCACTGTTTCATTTTCATTCTATTTGATTTTTCGTACAAGCAATAGTCGTTGCAAGCAATTTTGAATAAATTTGGAGAATTAATTGAAAGATCTCGATATTCAGATGAATTTATGCCGATTATTTGCATTCTCAGGACATTTTATAAAAGAATATGCTATAATTTATTTAGGTTATTCTGTTTAGATAAAATGTTTTTAACGATAGCTTTGAAAAACCGCAAATATTTTTATACTCTGACAAATCGTGCCAGACAAGAAGCCTAAGTATGTATAGAATTTTTCGCTCAAAACTATTTTGAAATTTTATACCACTAAAAATCGTTCGTTAAGTGTCTTCCAAATTTCACGTGATATATTTTTTAGAGCGTGAATTCACAAGCTGACGATCAAGAACTTGTAGGTAAGTTCTATGTTTTGGAAATTTTTTCTTAATTTATATGAATCTTCAGCAGTTTTCAGGCGAAATAATGAATTCGGAAGTGTCCAAGGAAAATTTATTTTGATTGTCTTTGTCTCCCAAATAAATGATATTAAAAATTTTTGTTTCGCATTGAATTTGGCGTTCGCTTGTGCTAGATAGGTTATTGATCAGTCCAATCTCATTTTCAAGTGATTTCAAATTATACAACATCTATGCCAAAATTTTTCTTTTTGCTTAAAATTGTAACTCTTTCCACATCTCTTATGAATTTCTAGATAGGTTATTGATCAGTCCAATCTCATTTTCAAGTGATTTCAAATTATACAACATCTATGCCAAAATTTTTCTTTTTGCTTAAAATTGTAACTCTTTGCACATCTCTTATAAATTTCTATTTTTTTTCGTGGAAGTCATTTCCCCATTTTGAAATAATCTTTATCTCATTTTATAAGGACACACATAATTGCAAATTCAAATTTAGTATGTATTACAAACCATGATTTTAGTATTTTATTATTTTACTTCTGTAGATCCGAACCCTGAGTTGAATGTCGCTGAGATAAACAAGGAGTTCATGGAGACCCACAAGGTAACACCAGCTCTGTTTCTCGAGATCTTTTCAAGGATACATTCTTGATGTAAAGTGTTTTTAACTTTTTCGTTTGAACATTCTTGCGTGAGAACGACTGAACTGGGCATTCATTTGAGCATGAAAACGTTGTTTATTATATGAACGCAAAGTTCAATCGTTGAACACAAGTATGAAATCGTCATTTCGTTTCTCTATATCAAAATACTTCAACTTTTAACTAGCTTTTTTCAGTTGCCAAAGATCGAAATTCTCTCTTTTTGCCACCATGATGATCACCCTGATTTCATCTTATTTAAACTATTTTTGTGCCTTAGACTAATCGAACACCTATTGTTTAAATCTAAGAATATATTTTGTTATTTGCCTTATCGGTCATGAGCATAATCATAATAAAGAACTACTCACACCTTACACTTGCTTAAAACTTTCTTCCGGTTTTTTTGATGTATATTTTCAACAGATTGCTCATTATGGATTCAGTTGGTAAAATACCCTTTTTACTTGTTGATGCTCCCCTAGTAAAGTTTTCCTTTTCACGAGTCCCTTAGGTAGAACTTATTGTTCCAACGCAACTCTTTCATGCCACTAAACTATTACAACTGAAATATTTCCAATTGGCGGAATCTTCATTTCAAAATGTTCTTTTATGTCGATGATCTGCTAAGACTGACTAAATACAATTTAAAAATGATCGTTGCAAATTAACATCGCGTGCTTTCATATTCTTTATAAATCTCTTTAATACATTAATTTGATTTATATCAGCTTCTTCTTAGAGCACATTCTCTCTCTTTGTAGCGGTTGTATCACGAGCTTGAAGAAGCAAGATGGAGTCCTCTGGAAACATATGCAAGTACTGTACCTACCCCTAAAGTACTAACTTGATAATAGTTTATTCCCCCTGGCCTCTGACTAATTGGGGAAGAATAGTTTTTTGTTTGCTTAAAAGGCAGGTACTACAACGCGTCCTATCCCTGCTAAATTTACTTTGGAACGCCCTGTTGCACAAGTGTGTTTTTAAAAAAATGTGATTCTCGTAAAAAGGACCGACACTGATTCTAGAGTTTAATGTCATGGGTATCTTGAAGGAATCCGACCTCACCAAGCCTCTTGATATTGTATAATTAAGTATCATAGCTATATTGAATAAGTCTATTGGACCATTCCGGATATAAAAACCTTACATAAAACAACAGGGAAAAGAAGGATGAAGTAAAGAATATTCCAAAATTTAGTCTAGTGTCCCAGTTGACTAAGAAATTTTTTTTAGGACTTTCCAAGGATCTTTCCATGGTTTTTCCAAGAATTTTTCGATGGTTTCCTCTATGGATTTTTCCAAGGTTTATCAAGGATTTTTCAATAGATTTTTCCTATGATTTTCAAAAGTCATTCCAACGATTTTTCCAACAATTTTTCCAGTGATTTTCTTAAGAATACCGCTGTTTCCCAGATAGGAAACGTCGGAAGACTCGCCTTGTCGTGTCATGTAGTTTATTCTGCTGTCGATTTTCCAAGCATATAAAAGAGGACATTTTTGGGTTTCAAACAGCTTGGCTGTCTGCGTAGAATTTTTAAAGATGCATAACGTCAACGTTATATATATTTATAGAATAAAATAATTACAACGGTATATTTCGAATATTGTCTTTTTCTTTTTTCTCTAAAAGACAGGTTGAAAGTTCAAAAAACTTTCTGCTATAGAATCTTTCTGTTACTTCTACCTGATAATGTTATATGTTTTGAGATGGCCTTGATCATATCATGGGTCGCTTCCAACACAATTTTTTGTTTTTTATGTTGTTTTTCGTAGTAAGAAATCACATCTTTTACGAAAATGGTTCCCATTATATCGGAAACCCTTGCAGCAGAATCTCCTGTCTGTTTCGACTCTTCATAATCTTTATGCATTCTCTTCATGCCTGTTTGCTATATTAAAATTGCCCTTTCGTTTCTATTCTACTCTTTAAGAAAACCTGTCTTCTTGGATGGTCTTAATTAAGATCTTTTGCAATAAAATCCAAGTTCGCTTATTTCTGTTCCGACTTTTTAAGAAATCACGTCATTTGATAAAGTCTTTTGTGTGTCTTGATTTAGAATAAATTTGAAGTTCAAGGGAGTTAAGGGAATTATCCGACGTAGCGAAATTCCCATTTAAGCAGATACCCGCTTTGAAAAAGCATAACAAATCAACTATAAGAACTTTATTTTGATCATATTTCAAATGTTTCTAATACATAGAAATAACCAAGAAATAATGTTTGCTAATTGTTTAGCTATTAATATGAAACACAAATTGTACAAATTAACTACAACAATTAACCTATATTATAAATATCTAAAAATAAGATATTGATTTTCGAAATCCATAAACTGAATGAAAATGTAAAAAGAACGCTATTTCAAAATACTTCACAAACTTATAAAAATAAATTATGTTTTTGAGTAAATATCAACCAAAAAGTTCAATAACCCTTATTTTTTATGTTAATGACAACAAAATTATCAGCTTTTAATATCTACAAAATCTAAATTCATTAACATGAATGAAGTCATTTATTTTATTACAATACTTTGATACAACGTAGCAAATCTAGGAAATAGGAAACTAATTGGATTTATGAAAATTCTACAACTTTTCCTTTTATGTATCATTATTACAGAAGGAAGAATTAAGGTAGATTATAGATTCATCGAAAAAAATAGTTTAAACAAATTAATTATAAATCTGCCCTAAGAAAAAATTCCATGTAAGAAATGTATTAAAATTACAGGTATTCTAGAGAGTAATATAAGTGGTTCCATTGGTTCTTATTGCTCTTATCTGTTTTAATAGCCTTTGCCAAATATTTATTGTTCTTCAAACAGTTAAAAAACTCGACAAATCCCATGTGATCAATCCCATTTTATTGAATCAAATGTTAACCTTGGGACACGTATTGCCTAGTTCCATATCTTGAATTTGCAAAGACACCCTTTCCACTAGAGCCATGTGTTACTCAGGATCATGTAGTTCTCTTAACACCTGCCTCCCACAGACCCTAAAATTCTTCCCCAAACAGCTGGAACTCTCTCACTAAACCTCCACAAATTTTAAAAGCCGCTTTAAAAGTTGCTTGAAATTAATATTTCATGACTGTAACAATCTTATTAGGTTTGGACACACGTTATGAAGGAATTGATTTTGTAAGGGGGATAGGGTTAGAACAGTTTTGATGACTTAGTTAAATAGCTTAATCCTAGAGATGTCAATTTTTGAACGTCAATATTGTGGTCTACCATCTTTATGGCCAAGGACTGTAGCCCAAATGTGTGCTTTGAGTTTCAATGACAGTAACGTATTCCATGAGTAAATGTGCTTGTAAGAAACTGTTTAGTTTTGATGTTCCTATTAGTTCTGCCGATTTTCCTGTGAATGCTGCATTTGGTAATTGAATAGGAATTAAATATTGATTTCTACAAACAGAACGTCTGCTGCGCGATACATAAGTTTAATACTGTTGATACATCAATATATATAAGAAAACAGCGACAAGGCCGAAAATGATAGGCAATGAGACAAAATATTTTGATTTTAGCATGAATATCAACGCCTCGTATAAAACGACTACCATCTTGACTGGCCTACGCCGTACAGCATAGCGCTCAAATTGCTCCTCCGCAGTAGCCGTTTCCACTTGATATGACCTTTCGTGTGTTTTATATATCATTGACAATGGGAGCAATCTCTTGACGAACCTCAATGCTGGCGAAGATTGCACAAGTTTAGCGCTGCTTCCTTGGAGCACGTCAAATGCTACATACGAGGAACGAACAGCTTTGAATATTTCCAAGTAAAGTTTAATGCTGATGTTCAGCTTGCGATAACTGCGAGGAAAGATCCCAGATCTCATTATTTCGTTAAAAGTAAACTGAAAACTATTGACAATGAATCTTAGAAAAGTTAGAAAAGTAAAGGGTCATCTAGGCCTACGCAATCAAAGGTAAAGAAGTACAGGGCCATCAAGCTCAAGGCTTCATTTATTGTCAAAAGTACTTGGAACACCTAAGCAGTTTCAGTAAATTTTTGAACTCTTTTCAATTCACCCAAATATAAATAGATAAGTTGCCCTCTTTCTCTTAAATACAATGTCAGAATTTCGCCTTAGTCATCCTGGTTCAAACAATACCGGTCACGTTCATATAGAAAATTTCTATAGAGAATAACCTGATATTGTTTGAAAGAGGATAGAGGAAACAGCTAACATGAATGACCTTAGGCAGGCATGAGCTTTATCACTTCTTCCACGAAAAACTTAAAAGTAAGTCTCAAAAGTAATAGCGCAATTTCATTTTAGTGGCCTCTGCAGCCGTTGTCCTTTTGTTTTGCTTCTTTATATTCAGCAATCCTTTGAGGCTGAATAAATCCCTTGATAGTTATTTCATGCCCGTATCGTGTTGGGAATTCCAATACGGCAGCAATCTCATACGTAGGCCTAAGTTGACGGGCAGCCGTGATGCGGAGTTCAAAACAATTATGAGACGCTGTGAGCAGAGAAATGTCAACTAACTAATATGCTACTGTTTTAACTTCAACTGATGCCGAACGCTTTCATGGAAGCAGAGAGCTGTGATGTAGTTATGGTCCAAACTCAAAACTCGGGACCATATGGACAAACTGCTTTTCAAATTATAATGGCAATCTTTTCGGAATTTCTGTCCCTGTTTACATGTCTAGCCGTTTTGCGAGCAAAGTTCTTTTGCGTAGAATGCAAGCAACGGAACTTGGTAAGTTTCTTTTGACATTTACGTTTTAACACTTGTTATGTTTCATTTGGCAATGCGTCATATATGACTAGCAACACTGGCCACAAATGCAAGAAGATCGCCTACGAGGGTTGCATTGTATCAAGCATTTAAATCCTGCACACAAGCAAGACAAACCTATCGTCTAAGAGAATCTGATGTCATCTCAACTTCCTACAATTGTTGCAAAGTGCGTTTAATCTACGCCAATCGAACCAAAATTTATCAAGTGGTGTTTCCAGTTGAGGGAGGGGTATCTTAGGGGTATTTTTGGGGTTACTTTGCTGAATTTCTTCGAAAAGGTTCTTGCCAGAAGCCTATTTACAGTAAACATTACACAAAATCGGCAACTCAAACATTCTCTTGGGAGACACATTTAGGGTGTGTCATAAAATTTACACCATCTCACTTCTTTACTCTCTCCCCGCGAAATTTGCTCGGGTTAGGCCGGTTGTTTTTATTCTAAGAATTTGTTATTAAAATAACTCGGGGGGGGGGGGGGGGGTAGAAGATATAAGTCATCATAAAGATTGTACACACTTGCTTTATAGTGGAAGCTATGGTCCTTGAGTAATAGATGGACTGGAAAAGATACTTACTTGGGGTCAACCCATGCAGTGACGATTTCATAATACATCGGCATTTCGGTTCTGGAAATTACCGCCTCATCCGCTTCGTCAAATTCTTCAACGTATTCCCCGACTGCGTATGCCGCAATATCTTTCAGCTAAAGTAAAGATTGTACAAATCAGTTTTATATAATTTCACAGGACCAATAATTCCTTATGCAGTCAAAAAATTTATATATTCAGTATATATATGATAATATAGAAAGGTTATCTTGGAGAATCGAACTGTGGTTAAGAACAAGCTTAACAAAGTCTATCTGATCTCTCTGTAGGCAGCTCAGAAATTCAAATGAAATAAGTCATCGTAATAATTCAAGATAAATTTGCCTGATGCTTCTCTTCATAAAATGTTCTAGCTAAGGGGAACAAGCAGTGTAGATATGTAGCTATATACATGTTCATTAAATATCTGGCAAATTCTTTAAAATTCAGCTACCCATTCGAGCATATAGGAAGCGGTCAAAATTTTCGCAACAACAGTGATATAATTAGAGGATAGCTTTAGACTTGGTCTATATGTATGCATGCTGTCAGGGGTAGGCCTTCTGACCATTAAGGACTGTAAATGTAAGCAAGGAAGACTGATACCATGATCTAAGGCAGTTAGAACTATACTTAGGCCTATTTCTAACTTGCAATATAGTGTAATATGTAAGTTGTTTTGTAAACTGTATATTGTTTGCGTTATCTAGCTTCTTGACACTGGATCTTGGAGAGGTGGGGTAGTTTCGTGCACGATAACTAAACATTGATATAATTTCATTGGAGGGAAAATTTTCTCAGAAGAAGTACAGTTTTAACAAATTTCAAGCTTATTTTATGTCAAATTAACCTTAGCAAGATAAGAACATTTTTCTAACGATAGTATCCCATTGAAGCAGGAAATATAATTTCAATAATGTCCGCTGCAATCTGTAATGTTTGTGTAGTAAAAGGAAACATAGTTAGTGCCAAGCTGTAGAAGTAAAGTAACTTTCTCATGCTACTCTCTCTTCACTAGAATACTACTATAGAATACTACGTGGAAAATAGATAGCCAGCTTGGTAGAGTTACACAGTCTATATTTCATTAGTTGACTGCTTTTTATAACTAGTTGCTAAATGACTTCACAGGCTGTGATACTCATAAATTACTTCACAGGCTGTGATACTCATAAATTACTTCACAGGCTGTGATACTCATAAATGACTTCACAGGCTGTGATACTCATAAATGACTTCACAGGCTGTGATACTCATAAATGACTTCACATGCTGTGATACTCATAAATGACTTCACAGGCTGTGATACTCATAAATGACTTCACAGGCTGTGATACTCATAAATGACTTCACAGGCTGTGATACTCATAAATGACTTCACAGGCTGTGATACTCATAAATGACTTCACAGGCTGTGATACTCATGATATGTTAACGGTAGTAAGTCATCAGATGAATGATTCATATACTTCTTGTGCAACGGTGTCAGCTGGCAAAATTGATTTCAAAATCGATAAATATAACTTTAAAAACATTTCAACAACTAAACTTGCAGTTCATGGGCTAAAAGGACTAGAAAATGTCAATCCATGTTTCTTCTGCAGCATGCTAAGTAAATTTTATTCTTCTGTAATTTCCTATGGCCTTTAAATTTCACTGTTCCCTAGTGAAGCCAATTACAACTGACTGTTTTGTTTTTTTCGGCCGATAAGCAGTTTCGGTATCTGAAAAATGTTTGGCCTTACACTTTTGGATCTATTCTCCATACGTTTTGTTCAAGAATCATGATACTATCTGGCTCTTAACAAGAAGGAATTTCTTAACTCAAAAAAGTTACTGCCAGCCTGAACTAAAATCGAGAAATCAGATCTAAAGGTCATTGTACACTTGATTTGTAGGCAACATGTATGCCGACACTGTTCCTTTGATAATCTTGCCAACTATGAACATCCATACTTTGAGAACATATGACCAACATGTCAGCATTTGTTCCCATCATATCCCACTGATCAACATTTGTAGCGAACAGTGTCGACATACAGACTGCCAAAATATGTTTACTCGTGTACAATGGCCTTAAGACTGTATCAGAGAAAATCTCTCAATATGAAATTCCGTTCGAACATGTCCGTTCTTGAAGAGCCTCGTATTGTTGTACCTGGATTGCAGTCAGTGAAAAATTTCCTCTTTTGGTAACAACGGCAATTACTCCAGGAAATGCAAAGATGCTGTAAAAAATAGATAAATATAATGATAAAAACATAGGGCATGCAATTAAGCTTAGTGTTTTCCGAATAATCACACTTAATTGCTCATGAATTTCTGAAACCCTAGCAATACAATCCTAGTCTTTGTCGAATTCCAAGTGCCTGGATACTATGTTAACCCACGCTGCCTCTAGGTTTGGGAGTTATGCATCAAGAAGGAAAGAATGCGAAAGGAAAATAAAATCTGATTAGGTTTCTTCTACATTAAACATTTTTTTCACATTATATTTGCTGCAAGCAACTGCTTCAAGTTCGGTTGGTCCTTAAGAAGATTATCATGAGAAATTACTTGTAGTCACTGCAAAAATTTGCTTTGCAACCTTGCCCTATATTTGCTATAAATAGATTTGCTTACCTTTCGTTCTCTTTGGCGCTTCTTACATGCGGTAGAAAATTCAAGTACTGCTCAATTGTCTCGTAACCATCACGACCGCCTCGATATCGCCACACCCTGTCCTCGTTGCCAAAGATCCAATGCATCAGTTCTTCTTGCAAATTTTGTGGGAGGTCGTTTATGGAAACAATTCTGAGTCTCCTACACAAAAAATCAAAAGAAACGTGTATGAGTCAAGTTTATTGTCAGAAACATTTCTGCCAGCTAGAAAGCTCCAATCAAAAGAATGAAAATTCTACCCCCTTCTTAAAAACGAAAATAAAAACGGTTTGAATTGGACACTGTATCCAACGAAGGCTAGATGAAAATAAAGTCGTTTGTTTTTATATTGCAATATACATGAAATTATGTCTTCTGTAGCGTAAATTTTTACAAAGCCCTGGCAAAACGAATAAAACATGTTTTATCCAACAATGTTGGACGATCTTTCATGCCGATGTTTTATTCCTTTGGTTAGGGCTTCATGTATACTGCAAAATAGATTTAAGTTAAATAATCATGTACACAATGCAATGAAACAAAGAAAATGAATAATGGATATATATTGAAGCGAAAGGTAGGTCAATATGGGACACAAAACACTAAAGAATAAGTAATTTTAATTATGGGTTGAATAAGTAAAATTGACGTAAAATTCCTAATCTTGCAATAGAGAGGTTATAACGGGTCTAAATACGATAATCGTTCTAATAAATAACGCATACAGAAACATATACTTTTAGTATGGCCAGGTTTAAGAAGATTGGTGATAAATTGAAAACTTTATCTGATGACATGGCTAGATGTGGACGGCTGTACATAGGTACATCCACACCTATACATCGTCAGTCAAACTGTGATTACATGTTCCTTCGCTAGCCGAATCAAACTTTTAATGAGTAAAGAACCTGCGAAAATTCATTGAAAAGCACAACGATGCCCTCCTCAAAAATAACCAGCTTCACTCCTTCCAATTGAAACAATTTTTACAGGTAAATATTGCATACATCTGTATTTTGAGTTTTTTTAATGATTGAAGATGGAATGGTTAAAGTCGAAAGGTTGAAGTCACAACTTCAAAAATTGATCTTAATGTTCAAAGAGCAAAGGTAGTGATTGCAACACACTTCAATAGATGTAAGACTTGGACTGTTAATTCGATAGTGAAGGTGAAACAGTTTACAAATAAAGCACGTGAAACAGCTTCTTTAAATAAAGCGTGGAACAGCTTTTTTAAAAGGGTTGCTTTGTGTAGTCGGAAATATGATGTGATTTGGGAACTCTGGGTTTGCTTTGGTTTGTCTACCGGTATCGCCAAAGGTGTGTTGATCATGGAAATTCAGCTTCGCACTTTGTGAGTTTGGCTGAAGATTACAAAAAAAAAGTCAATTATTACTGTAATATTCACTTAAATCGGTCTTTAAGTAGGCATTGATGTATGCATCACTTTTTTAATTCGGTTCTCACATACTTCTACTTATCTCAATAAAAAACCTTACGCTTTCAAAACATTTGCCATCTCATGAACAGCAGTTTGAGAGCATTTCTCATCTGACTGATCCATTCTCTTTTCCTGAAACCGCTTGAGTTGAAAAAACTGCTTTCTTGTTGAATCGAACATCTCATCAAGATCAAGTCTTGAGATAAATTCTTCCAGTGACCTCCGAACTAATTTGCGTATTCGAAGCAAAATTTCCTCCTTTGATAATGGCTCCTCTTTGCATTGCGTCTTGAACTTTTCCTTCCAAAAGTTGTAATTGAAAACGTCTGATATTATGCTCTCCTGTTCACTTCCCGTTTCTATCAGTTCACTTACATACTCGGCAATTGAGCTCCCAAGGAATCTGGAGAATTAAAACATAAAGCATAATAACGGTGTAAAATGATAATAAACCATTCGCAGAGCAAGATCTCAAAATAACAAGAGAAAAAGAAGACAACGTGTAAAAGTTAAGTATCCTCTTTATCTGAAATTCCTCACAGTATAGAATATCGGGCAACCGCAAAATTTTGTATGTTTGCATCGAGAGAGGAAGAATTACTTGTTTGATTGGTTCCCTGTTTCGACCAATCAAAAACCGTCACCCTCTCATCTGGTTGGAAAGTCCAAGAGAAAACTAACTCTCCAAACAAAATGACTCTTTGATCAATGTAGACAGATAAGCATCAGACAAAAAATATATTCTGAAATGTGTTGGGTAGAAACTGTATTCCGATGAGTGTTGTGCAAAACTATATTCTGGTGAGTGTCGAATTTATCTACATTTGAAAATGGCTTTGAAAAAAGCAAACATTTAGCTAAACTAAAGCTTTTTCGTCTGACACTCTTCAGAGTTTAAAACGTCAGAACATAGACCGAAAACTCTACGATAGGAAATATATATACCCAGTTGTGGATCGAAATAGGCCAATCAGAAACACGGGCACATGACTGTTGAGGTTGACCAATCAGTGCCGCTTGACTGTTGAGAATGTTACCAATGGACATTATCTACATTCCTTCTTAGCGAATTTTCAGACAAATCCTGCATGTTAAGTTATCCACCAATCAATGCCAACGCAATTCATACTAACAATGCATAAAAAATTTGACATACTTTACCATAAAGGCGGATTCTGATGATAGCTTGATCGCCTTTAGGCATTTAATGCTTGAGATTGGGTAAAAAGACGGAGCCATATAAATTAATAATGAAAATAGTTCAATGCCAAACACTTCTGAAAGAACGAAACGTAAAATAAAGACTTGAAGATAAACTAAAATTTACATCCAAATGCTGGTTGAAGATAACTTTAGGTGCGTCTGGTTGGTTTCTTGTTGTGTCCTATCAGTGCCCATTTCCTCATCGCAGGGTTTAATAACAGAATAGAACTATCGGCTCTCTAGAAAAGAGTCCAAGTTAGAAAATAAATCCCTTTTGTCTACGTAGATTTGGATTTATTGATTAACGCGGCTTCTTCAACACCGAGATGAGCCGAACTTTAAAATAACCATACCTGAGCTTGTTCAATATATCATCTTTGAGCATTGCCTGAATGACGTCATCGAATATCATTCCTCCAAGGTCTTTGGTGACATTGCGTGAGAATTGTCGTTGAAATTCTTTGGGCGATTTCAGTGATTTGAACCCCTTACCAATCATGATGTCTTTTCCACAGCGAACTGAATCCGGCCTAACGTCATAATAGGTTTTCCATTCAGGTGAAAAATCAAAATCACACGTCAATATGGCACCTACAAGGTATAGTAAGAAATCAGTCTTGCTATCAAACAGTCACTTACTGGATTTCGAAGAAGGTCCATAAACGAGCACTTTCTGGATTGGCAAAGAGAGTGTGACTGAACGAGTGCGTTTATTAACGTGTACACGGATTATCAACACATTGTGCTGCAGAAATCACAAATTTTGCAGTATTCACAGTTTTTTATGAGCTAATGCTCCATATCTATTGCTCGATCAGTTAAGACTAACCTGCTTCAATTGACTTACAGGAAATCATTTAGCGCCCACCAACCTGCTTATTCGAGAGAAATCATTCAATACGATACTTTACACAGTCACACATAAATATGACTCATGATACAAATAGCTTTACATATAAACTACTTCAGCAAACTTGCAAATGGTACATGGCCATACATATTTGGCCAAACAAATCTGTCTTTGGGCAACGAGTATGAAGTGGGTTGTTTGACATATCACTGTGATTTTTCATAGTGAAGCTGACACTACAGGTTGACTGGTTTTGTAAGAATGTCATTCTTGACCCGAAGTTTATTTCTCATACGTTTGAGTCTACCCTCAACGATAGTTTCTCCATTTTCAATCAGTCTTTTAGTTTCACTTGTCACGGGTTCTGTACTTTGGTCCTGTTTTAATAGGTCAACAAAAGTGGTATTGTCACTGTTTATAGCCAAAATCTTGTTGTCGAAGAGTAAAATGTGGGCTGGATAAGAAGACAAAAAATCAGCTTTAGATTGTCTTTTCCTATAATGTATTCTAATGTATTCTGCAGCAGATGACAAGACCGGACCGGAAAAAATTCAAATCCGGAAAAAAGGATTGAAGATTGAAGTTTATTGGAGCTTACCAGTTAGGACGGTTGGAACAAATCTTCTAACCATCTCCCATGTGTGTCTATTTGGCATATGGTATGGAAGGATAATGGCAGGAACTAAGTCATTTTTGTCAAGTAGTTCTTCAAAAAACTCAATCCATATCTGTAACGGAATGATAGTTAGATGAAAATATAGGACAAGTTATTTCAAGTTGCAGTCTCATGACTCGTTAACAATATCATAATAGAAATTTTATTGTCAGCCCTCTAGTGATGGTTGTAGCAATTTCACGCGGAGAGAGTATTGCGGGTGGCTACAAAATGGGCTTGAAGGTATTGTAACAAAAATCTAATCGTTCTGGTATAAGTTCTTTTCAAGATTGCATGAAAATATAAAACTGAATACACCAACAGAATACAAAACTTTAACTTGTAAATGGCTTTGAAAAAAGCAAACATTTAGTAAACTAAAGCTTTTCGTCTGACACTCTTCAGAGTTTAAAACGTCAGAAAATAGATCGAAAACTCTACGCTAGGAAATATATATACCCAGTTGTGGATCGAAATAGGCCAATCAGAAAACACGGGCACATGACTGTATAGGTTGACCAATCAGTGCCGCTTGCCTATTAACTACAAACTTTAACTGTTTAAGGAAGATGAAAATGGAATATGACGTTTGATAAAGACGAGGTATAACGTTCAATAACTCCTGACGAATTGTCAAAATGAAGAAACAAACTTCTTAAGCCTACAAAAATACGAACTTTTCGTTTGATAGAGATAGAATTGGATAGATTGTTTTGCAGATTTATTACCTGTGCAGTATCATAAGGATGTCCATTGCTATAAGCACGATAGATAAAGGCACCTTGATCCATGAAAAGCATCTCTGCATTCTCAATCTCCTCCCCAGCTTCATCGTATATACTGGCAAATGCACTGTCACATCGCATGCCTGTTGGGCAGGAAGACACGTCACAAAAATAGCTGAAGAAAAGGTATCTCTGCTACAGCTACACAAATATAACTGGAAACACGCCTAAAAGCCAAAGGATCATAGCACCCACTTTTATAACCTGAAGATACATTTGACTTCTATCGAGTCTTTGATGCATTAAAACAAGGAAACAACACTAATAAATACGTTGGGTACAGGAGACGTAGGTCCACTATATTGAATAATTTGTTTCCGATTTGCCAGTCGTGACAAAGAATTATACGTACATTTTACGAAGGCAATAAACTCCGCCTCACCTATTTCTAAAGGTCTTTCACAATGATCTCCGTTTGGCGCGTAACATCCAATTATGTTCGTCCCACAGCATCGTGCGCAATCAAAGAACTTAATATTTAGCTTTATTGTGAATTCTGTCCGCTTCAGCTTTGCTGATGACTTAGCCTCCATATCACTTTCTATTCTCTCCTCATCTGCTAATAACTGTAGCTTCCTATCGTGAATACGAGGTTGCTGGTTGCGGCTCAGTTGTTTATCAATAACCTGTGTAGAAATGAAACATCACCTTGTAAGAACATGATATAAAGACCTTCAATGGCTGAAGTGACTTCAAAATGCAAGAGTTCGGACGTTGCTAGTTGAGGAAAAACACCTCAAAAAAGCCGAAGAGTGTCTGAGCTGTTTGCCAGAAGCCAATCCAACTTCACAAAAGAGTCTTTCTTGGGCCTGTAACGCAATTAAGGCTCTTTTGTATCAACGTTTGTTAGGATTGTTAGGCCACCTAAATTTGGAAGTGAGTATGACAGGAATACATTAACCTGTCAATCGACAATTTCCAATTAATAATAAAGTCATGTCTTGACCAGTCAAATTTCTGCTGCTTTTCATGTGACCGAGCAAACAATTACTTCGATGAAATCATCTAATAATCTAAGCTGCGACTGCCTTTACACGGGCTATCGAAAAAATCTGCCGTTCAGCATGTCTGCCTTCTGCCATTAAAAGTAAGAAAAAGTGAATCAATAGTTGATACCTTGACAGCTATCGCTCTTCTACCTTTCAGATCTGTCATTGTGAGGTCGTCAGAAAAGATCTCATTTATTTTGACGTCTTTGCCCTCAATTTTCACATAGGGCACACCAAGCTGTTTGAATAAATCTACATATTCTGTAAACGATGCTAACAGCGTCTGTCTCAGATTTTCTTCAATGTTCAGACTTCCATCTGTCACTACATTCACTTTGATTTCGTCACACCAAATCCTCTCGCTGTATCCAACGGTGACAAGTCGCTCATGAACTCGTACGTTCTCTGGGAGGTTTCGCAAATAACGTTCCAAAGATTCATTTCTTCTACTAAGGATGTCGAGAAATCCTGGTCCTGTTGAATCAGTCATCTTTGCAATCTGAGGGAGAAAACCATAAATTCTACAACAACGCAAAGCAACACCTTAGATGGAAGTTAGCTTGTCGAATTCAAAGCTATTCCTCATAAAATATGAAGCAACACCGCAAATCCAGGGAGTCCAGATAACTGCTCACCCATTCTCTGGTTAACTCTCTTAAAATCTCATAAACAAAAAAATGGCAGAGTTTGGGCGTGGCTTTGAGATTTACTTTCATTGGCTCTCAACACAGTAGCTTTTAGTGCGACCAGAATGTTTACTGGACTCTGCACGAATCATTTACCTTTAACCACCTTTAAAACTTTGAATAGAAAACGATCACGAAGGAAAAATCTCCGAATATGAAGTACACCCGTCAGAGATGTTTACCCTTCCTTTACTTTACAGAAAGCCAATTCTTGAAGATACGAGTTTGGTTGTGTATTGAAAAATGTCAAAAGTGACAAAGATTTACAAGAATTTTCTTCCATGACAATCAACAGCTGGGCATCAGAAAGTAGGCCTCTTTTTAAATAGGTATATTTTGGCGACAATACTTTTGCTACAAATATTTTATCTTTGGTGTGTTAGTGACAAGAAATGAATTATCAATTAAAAAAAACCCACAGTTAAGACTCGTGACGAGCTTGACTAAAACCTGAGTGAACAAGAGAACCAGAAAACCGTTGGAAAGCTGCGATGTCAGAAAGTGATTATTTTTGGCACATCAGGCAACACTTTTCAAAATCTGATGAAACTGTAGCCCGATAAAAACTCACAAAAATTGTAAAACTCGCAACTTACCTTTCCCTCTGCCATACTTGCATCTTTATCGCATTCGAAATTCACCCGGTCTTCCGGCATTTCTTGCAACAAAGCGTTCTCCCTGCCTTCTTCAGCACTGGCATCCGGACGTTGTGATAGGCAATTATAGCCCTCTACTTCGGAATTTCGCTCTTCAAATGACTTCAATTCTGAACAATTCAACTCAACCTCCTCTGAAAGATAATACTTTACAATGCTGACTACCATTCTTTTTAATGCATGATAACGAGGCAGCTGCATATGCTCGATTCTCCGACCCATCGACTGCAACAACTTCATCAAATCGGCATCTGCTCGAATATCGCGTGGAATCTTGGAATCGACGTCTATATTGATACTGTCATGTTTCTTGATTTCTTTTACGAGCTCGTCTTGAAATAATGCCTTGAACAAAGTTAAATTTGACACTCTCATAAGTAACTCTTTTTGAGCATTCTGGTTAAATGCTCTACTTGATATTGAGGCTTTCAAACTTTCAATAAGAGGCAAAGTCAGTTGAGAAACAGAAAGCTCCTTCCCATTACCATTTTTTTCTCCGTCGCTAATTTCAACCATCAGGCCTTTCTCGACTTGGATTATGCTAGTTATAATCTGAAGTAAAAAAAGCTTTGTAAAAGACGTGAAATCAGCATAACGTGCAGTGGCATGTAATAGCTTCACAAGTGTCTCATCAAGACGCAAAAAGCAATGTATTTGGGTACACATTTGATGTATCAAAAAATTCTGAGCTGTCATGGGCGTACGGGGTGAGTGCAGGAAGGGGGGCTGAAATTTTTTTGCCCGGAAAATAATAACACCAAAAATTTACTCTAACAAATGTGAGCTTCTAATATTAGTCAAGAAATAATTGAAATGCAACGTCACTAAAATAATGTTAACTAATGACCATTTTTAAAACTTCACACATTTTCATTAAAAATTTTTCATCTCAGAGAATCTGAAACATGTTCCAAATGTAGTTTTTCTTAAACTTTTTGTTTTTGGAGAAGGCTCCTGCCCGAATTTTGCCCGAAAAATCAGCTGCCCGAATCTAGGGAGGCTGAAGCTTGCCCCCCCCCCGTCCCGTACGCCTATGCGGGCTGTACAATATAATAGAATATAACAAGGAATTTTAGTACAATTGTGCTAGAGAAAAAAAGCGAATTTATTAACGACCTTTAGAGCATAGCCCGTTATCAAATGAAGATATAAAAGCATTAATAGAACTAAAAAACACGCATGGAAAGTTGTCTCGATAAATAGAAAAGATTTGGTAATTCGGTATTATTGTTTTTGAAACAGCAGCAAGTCATACCAAATGACTGATCGATTGACTGAGTTATACCAAAATAAATCATGAATGAAAGACCAAAATGATGTCAACTAGTAATAAAGTTATTAACAACAAACATTTGAAACTTGGAAGTAAAAAGGCTAGATGTAATATTCTTTGAGGTCATTGTTAATTTCTATATTTAGATGAATCTAGGAGGTTCCCATTTTCAAATGTTTGTTTTTAATAATTCTATTACTAGTTGACATCATTTTGGTCTTTCATTCATAGATTTTGTTTAAGATTCTCTAGGAATTTGCTGACTTTGTCATGCAAACTGAAGCAAAGGGTATATATAAATTTTGTAGTTTTAGATAACTTCATGTAAGCAGAATAAAGAAGTTACACCTCACACAGGGACTCAATCTGCTTCGATTTGAAAATTCCAAGTGCAAAATCGTAAATAGCATGGCGAATGAATCGAAAGCGATTTTCTTTTATCCACGGAGCAGACATCAAATGAATGTTTCGAATGTCAGCCTTTCGTCCTTTTTGGAGCAACACAAGAAAAAGGGCCTGTAAAATGAGATAATGTGATATTTACAACGACACAACGCCTTTAAAAGCATTTTGCAAGGGCTTCAGCCTTCAGAAGAAGGTGAAATTGGATAGCTAGAGTTACAGCTGGTAATAAAGGGCTACCAAGAAAATATTCGATTTGTTGGTAACAAAATAGCGAAGAGTTGTATAGCTGAATAAAAGAATAAATGAATGGATCAGTTAGTGAACGAATGAATGACTGAACTATTGAATTAAGTAATAAAGTAATGAATGAAGGCATTATTGGATGAATCAATTAGTGAATAAATTGAAAATATATAGATGAATATTTAGATGACTTAACGAATGAAAAACATATACAGAAAAGAATTAATCAGAGACATAACTCATCGATCAGTTCTAGACAAAAGTCTCCCCCACTATTTTTGCTCAAATAAATTTTTTACCGATAAATCCAGCAATTCCTGCTACATGCACAAAAAAATAGCAAGAAAAAATTAAAGAAACAGTTTTTCATACGTCTTATAGCTTGTTATTGATTATTTGAAAGAGATCCGGAGAGAGAGTGAATATTGTGGTGATACATGTTTGAGTCTAAAAAGCTACACTTTTCACAGTTTGGTTAGCATTATCATTATTTATATTACCATGAACTATTAATACCTTATTTCTGTTTTCAAAGCATGCCTTAAAGCTGCATTTAAAATTATTGTTTAATACACGGAGAGGAGCTGTACTGTTTTAAAGAACTATAATAATTCGATTGTATAGCCAAGTTTGAGTGTAAAGACATAAGCAGTGGTAGGTGCTAAGGTTTTTGGGAAGATTCCGTACATGGTAAAAATGAGATGATTATTGAATGTCTCAAAGAGGAGTCCTAGAGTGTAGATGATGAAAAATTATTTGCGTGTGGACTTTGTTACATTGCGTGAATAAGATTTTATGTGCCTTCGTTGTGCATTGCGAGATTAAGATGGTATGTGCCTATGTTGTGTAATTTCCTACAGGCAAGCAGAAAGATGCCAGTCATGTGGATAACTATGCCGGTCTTGTGCTTGCGTTTTTTCTGATTGGCCTATTTCAATCCACAACTGGGTATATATTTCCCATCGTGTTCTTTTGGACACTCATTCTGACGTTGCATACTCTGAGGAGTTTCAGACGAAAAAGCTTTAAGTAGTATGTTGTGAAATGTTTGCTTTTTTCAAAGGCATTTTAAGCTAAAAGTTCCCGGAAAGACGTTCGATCATATAAAACCAACCTTTGACTGTTCTGCTTCCTCGGGAAAGTTTATAACAAAGAAATCACACGAGCTTCGTATAAACAGCAGGCTGGAGCTGTTTAACAATTTGTCCAGACACTTGAGCATCATGGGAAGGAATACTTTGAGTTTCGAAACGTTGACATCTTCTGGCATTAACATCGAGATCAGATCGAGACCATGAGTTACCATGCCATTCACGGCCTCTCTCTCGTGTGCCTTGGTGTAGCAGGTATCAATGAATTCTAATTAGATAGAGGTAAATGAAGAACAAGTAACAAGAAAGGCTGTTCTTTTGATATCATTTTTAGGCGAGAACAGGAGCTTTCAGCGCTAAACACAACACGGTATAACGAACATATACCAAACTGTTACCAGCAAAAGACAGTGGTAATAGATTGATAACCCCAAAAAATAGCTTTGATTTGAACAACTAAGTGACTTAACTGATAGATGTACCAACAAATGATGAAAGTTATAAGAAACTAAACTGTTAATAAGTGACGATAGAAAGATCCTTGTTACTCATTCCCCTGTTTAATTTACAAATATATTGTTGTTATTGGTACCGATAACTATCGGCAAACAAAAGAATTGATCATTTCATGAAAACGCAAAAAATAGCGATACCTTTCAGGGCATCATGCTTCTCCTCGTCTGTCAGAAGTGTTCGGTTGAGATTTTTAACAAGCTTGGGAATCATAACGGAACAAATCTGAAATGCAGATGACGACCCATATTTCATACATTTCACGCATAACTTCAATGCCGCCAAGGCCAAAATCTTTTTATCCACCTTCCAGGAAATATGAGTCTTTCCTGATTCGAAGTCTCGGAATAGGTCAGCATGCATAATGAGTGTATCAGGAACGCTGGGAAGGTATGATGGGTTGCAAAGTGCGGGGATAACACTTGCAAATGTGTAGCATATGTTTTCGCCTTTCTTGGTTATCAGGCATGCAAGTTCGTACATCAAGAAGTTTATCTCCTTTATCACGGAGTCATCTTTGGAATCTATTTCGTCTTGGAATTCAAATTGCTTTGCAAAAGGCAGCTCTGCAAATTTTTCAGACCAGTGAGGTGCACCATTTATTGTCTCACATGGGCTGCCAGACTGCGTTGAAACTGAGTTTACAAGAATATCAATGATTGTTGCTACGGTGGAAACCGCCTCTATTCGATGTTGAAATTTTCTTGAACGCTCTCTAAAAATGTAAAAGAGTAATCATTGTTATTGTGCTAATCAAATTATGATGATTATTACGTACAAGCAATACATATTACATTCCATTTATGTTGGAAAAAAGTCTATGTTACTAAAAATGGAAACTTTACCGTAAACTTGAATAAACCCCAACATACCTAATAACATCATTAGGCTGAAAAAGCAAAGAACATTTCTTCATATACCATATCCCTTCACCTAGCAAAGCCTTGCTATGTTTTGTTCGGAAAGCCAGTGACCCATATTCAAGTGCCTTGCAGATGAAACGGCTATCTTTCAGATCTAAAACTAAAGAAAATATGACAGCGGATTAGAACATGTCTTAAGCATTTAAAGGCTGTTGAATTAGTGAGGTGATAACAGGGGACATTTTTTGGGCAAGGGGGGTTGTAAAATCTGAGCCCCAAACATTTGTCCTACTTTCAAAAGAATTTCCCCTCAGGTGTCTTTTTCTAGAATAACAGCTTTGAATGCATAAACAACTATACTAATCGGCATACAAACAATACCAAAGATACCTTATCTCTTGTCTCTTATCACATAAAATTTTTGTTGCATAACTGTCATTTTTGGGGTGAGTTTGAAAGTGCGCTGGATTAAGTCTGGAATCGGACTAAACTGAACTAAACTGGGTTCTAAAGTAGAAAGGTGTAAGTGAAAATCAATACCTGGAGAGAGGATATTTGGCAAGTAAACTAAGATCGCTTTGGATTGTGGGATAGCCAGCTCTGCTGATGACATCATAAACTCCAGCATATGTAAGAATATATCAGCAGCGTTGCTTGTGTCACCCCCTTCTGAAATAACAAATTGACACAATAATGAATTCTTATCCAGTTTCATACAAAAACTGCAGTATCAAAACAAATCACTTGGGAGTTGGGAAGGAGGGGGGGTAGTGTTAGTTTTCAATGATAAATAAATCTGTTTCGCCTATATAAAGAGCATGAAGATGTGTGCAGATTTGATAGCTTCGATTGGTTGGATCATCATTATTATTAAAATACATACATTTATAACCATTGATTTACTAATACTATCATACAATGGTCATCAATTTCATTTGTCACATTGACAGACACAATAGGTTTGGAAAAGGCCTTGAAGGAGGTATTGATTAAAGAAGGGAAGAGGGGTACAGGATTATCTGAAGAACACAGAGCCTTGGGATGTTAAAGAGCAACTAGAGACGAAGGCGCCTAAGGTGGGAAAACTGGCAAAGGACAAGGTAGGAAACATAAAGGGTACAACAATTAAAGATACATCGCTTCCTTGTTTCTTTCAAGGGCACAACGCTGAGCTACGTCTTTGGAGCATCTAAAGATCTGTAAGAAAAACTGCCAAGCAGGAACGAATAATCAACAAGACAAGAACCTACAAAGTGGCTATGCGATTTTCTGGGATGTTTTTGATCGTTTTAACACCTTCTCAGAACAAAGGACAAGCTGAGCAGATGATACCACATTACCTTTGTAAGAGAATTGGGCTAACGCATCGAGTGTTTTGTCGACTTGAACTTCTTCCCAAATGCCTTTCAATGAATTTCCTTTGGTTTGCAAAGAGCACAGAACGACATGAATGTATTCAAGAATTTTCGCAGCTAAAGACGATTTGATATTGAAAGTTCGTTGAAACTGAGAAAAGAAGTTTAGTTTTAGCTGCATAATGATAAGAAAGAAATGCTTTCAATCATAAGAAAATTTAGATGATAACTAGTAAACCAAATTGAAATTTGGCAAAAAAATAAAAAATCGCACAATATTTGTTTAAAATGTTAAAGGCAATCAGAAGCTTGTGAACCATAGAATCTCAAGTCGTTTAAGGGCCACTGATTGTATAAAGAGCCCCTTCTTAATAGTCTTCATACTAAACCAGTCCCTGCAACGTCTGACGAAAGAAGAAACGTCAAGTTTTGGGATATTTAGGAAACTTACATTATGCAAAGATGCGAATTTTTACTATCAATTGCGGAAAAGAGTTTTTCAACGAATAAACTTTCTACACTTCTTAATAGAAAATGTGAATAAGTCGGAAGAAAGTACAATTTTCCTTATCATAGAAAGACAATCCTCCACTACTGAGACCAATTATCTCATTATATTTTGGACCAATATTGAGACTTTGTACGAAAGTTTCAGTAAAACGAATGTCCAATTGCGTAGCAACAATATAAATAGACGGCAATTATGACTGTGTCAAGGATAATAAACGGAAAATATTCTTACATTTTCAGTGATAGTAAACATAGCATCGATGAAGTCAAAATATTGCTTGTCCTCAAAATTCTCATCAAGAGGCATCGTTTCCTTAGTGAAAAAGAGACCCAATGAAGGAATTTTGTAAATAAGTTAATAATAAACAATGTACATTTTTTAAAAAGCAACGAAGTACTAAGCAACAAAAAACAAAACATATATGTTAAAGATTGAAGAAAATGGAGAAAGATAGCACACCAGACGGTCTAATTTTACCTAAATGTTGTAATTTAAACATAAGTAAAAGAGATTCTCTAACCTCTATCAGGGATAATATGTTTTGTACCAACTCGATTTCAGACACCGCATTTTTTCGACAGTTTTCTATGAATTCGTTGATGCTTTAAGGCAATAGAGATTTATACTGAGTATGGGTATGTAAGATTTATATGTAATGTTTGGTTGTAGCCTGTATAGGAAGAGTCAGAATTAGCAGTCAGCACTGGATGGTATTTGCTACCGAGACAACTAGCATCAGTGAAAATGGATGATCAGCATGATCAACAAACGCCTGATCAGCATGATCAACAAACGCCTGATCAGCATGATCAACAAACGCCTGATCAGCATGATCAACAAACGCCTGATCAGCATGATCAACAAACGCCTGATCAGCATGATCAACAAACGCCTGATCAGCATGATCAACAAACGCCTGATCAGCATGATCAACAAACGCCTGATCAGCATGATCAACAAACGCCTGATCAGCATGATCAACAAACGCCTGATCAGCATGATCAACAAACGCCTGATCAGCATGATCAACAAACGCCTGATCTACAAACGCCTAAAGAGTTTTAGGGCCTGTCATAGAGGGCGAGCTGATCCAGTTAGATGGGCAGCCTCACTTGACAGCGCTGTTCTCCAGTAAACCTTCGTATGAAAGATTTATCAACGAATTTAAAAAAAACGCCCGGGTCCACCACCAGTTGTAGCAGGGGTTAGACTTCCTCTAAAACCCTTGTCACTTCGAGTAGTCAATGAATTGAGAGTGAAGACAAAAAGCGAGCGACTCGTGTTGAGGTTAATCACTGACTAAATTACTGAACAAAAGACTAAGTGTTATATACAAACCAAAGCCAAATTAGCATAATAACTACGTATGATAATTAACAGCATGAATTCCTACTACAGTCAGGGGGGGGAGGGGATCGCTAGTCTTCTTTCCATATTGATACAATAATTCGTTTCTTCGCACGCAAAAAATTACTCAAGTGAGATCTCGCCTAGTCTTAAATATGAACAAGATCTTAATCAGTAGCAATATTAGAATGGTTTGGGTTCTGGAACACAGGCTATATTAGAAACGAAACGTGTTGGGAAAAAGAATTTTATTCTATTAGCATCCTAAGTATACATATTAATGGAGAGGGCTATTATTCTATCCATTTCTGAATCACTTAGAAAATGCATCATATGTACATGCACATTAGGCCGAAAGCTTGTGGAAACAATTTACATCTCTTGCCGCTGCACAGCATCAAATAAAAACTGGTGATAAGCTCACCCTATGCTCCTCCACAGTGAGACCAGCTTGTCGAGACCACAACTCTTGGAAAGCAATGCAATCTTAAAGACAAAATGCAAACGAAATATCAAATCCAAACTTTTCTTACTGCTTAGATAATTTAGATTAGCATGGCTTATTTCATGTTTCTAGTAATAGTCTAAAAGATCGATGTGTACTTTAAGTATCTGGAAAGCCCAGTTGCTAGCTACATTCAATCCAAGTTAACAATATTATACATAAACAATAGGAACAAAATAAGGTCCAATATTACGAGATTTTCCCATCCCCAACATCACCAGCAACTAATTGTAAATAGAATTTCATTTAGGGCTATAGGAATAGGTCGAGGCAACAGGGCAACAGCGCGATATTGATGAAGATGTTCGCAGAATTTTTGCACAGTTCCAGTAAACACATCAGGGAATAGAGCCTCATATTTAGTGGACAGTCTGGAAAATACGACAGCTCGCGTTTATATGTGCTTTTGTAGCGTGTATGACAAAGGAAAGGAACTGATTCATGGCTGATAAAAAAATGAAACTGATCTTAACAGTGAATTTATTGCATTGAATGTAATGGAGAATGATAGAAATAGGAATTTCTTTGAAGCTGACGAAGATTTTTCATATTCTTTCTCATAATGGTCTGGAGGAAAAGCGCTGCAACGAAAAAAATCGATTACTTGAATCTGCAAGGGAAGGATCGAAGTTTGACGGATGCCTGAGTTATCAAGGGTCAGAGCTCGCCAAGGAAGGCGAAAGGGGAATTCAAAAACGGTTCGAGTTACCAGAAGCGCAAGTTATAAAGGAGTTATACTGAATATGACTCGATATTTTGTTTGGTATCTTAGCGTGCATATAGCTGCTGAACTTAATGACCTCGTGATTGCAGCTGCCAAACATCTGGCATGGCCTATTACCTTGGATAATACCATAGCAAGACACAGGAGAAATCGTAAAACCATTTTGTTAAAATAGGCCCGGAAATCACTCTAAAACTCATTTCGTGAGCTTTAAGCTTGGATGGTTAGAATCTGCTAGATAGATAGCTTGGCTGGAGAGTCCTATCCTACACAATATTCAATACTTTTATTTCATAATAATGACAATGCCACAACATACCTGCAGTGATATAGAACGTTCCTGGTTGTATTTGAAATCGAGATGAATGGCATCTTGTTGACCAGTAATGCATAATCTTTCAAAATGCTCACAAAGTAATTCAAATTGCTGCCTATGGTAAAAAAACGGCTCACTTGATCCAAAAGATGCAGCTATTGGAATTCTAAACAAATTTTCTCAGCAAAAAGAAGTGATCAGCTGCCTCTGAAATTCCACTACAATCAGTTCAGGCGCTAAATAAATTTATAAACAGTATTGCTGATCCAGTTCAAAGAATAAAAGAAAGAAGATGCGATGCTTATCGTTCTTTACCCTGCGTACCAGAGCCATTCGATTGCGGAAATAGAAGATAGAGGTGGAGAAGCGGGGGCGCTCGAAACTTTGTTGTTCTGGCACCCAGTTTAATAGTTCTTCAGCTATTATCGAAAACTGCAATACATGCAATAAATCTATGCGAAGAAGTGCATAGAAATTAAACATCTACAGGATGTTTTCCTTTTTGTGAACCTACTGTTCAAGATTGTAGTCTGAAAAATAGCACTTGAAAAAATCGCACGCCCATCGCTTCTAAAATACATTGTCCCCTAGAATATCTATTGTCAAGTGACACCTCTTTGCAAGGAATAGCTAACAAAGATCATTGTAAAGTACAACTTTAAGATGAAAAGCTAATGCAAGGACTTTTGGTCCTGTGAATCTTTGAGGCGACGTCTAACTCTTGAAAATGCAGATTCTCTTCTCTAGGGTCACATAACTTCTTGGTATCTTGCTTCGAGCAACGATATATGTCACATAATTGCACAGGCATATCTAAAACTATTTATAATAAGGAGGCCATTAAGATCAAGGTTTACCAGCAGCTTCTGGTGTTCCTTGCCTTGATAGCAAAGTAACGTCAAATTTTGACTACATCCCGGTCCTTTCCCAGGACTGTCAAACATAACTATTAGTCTTCGTCATTTAATGCGTGCGATCGCACGCGCACGCATCGGCACACGCATGGCACCAATAATGCGAGCGATTGATCGCACGATCGATCAATCGCTCGCATGAGTTGTATATTTGACCGTCGTTTTTGACCTGAATAAAATTGTTTTCATCAACGAAACATTGGAAGTTTTGTTTTTCATAAGCTCAGCAACATCGGCTAATTCTTTAAAGAGTGCCTATTTTTGCTCTCTATCGTGGCTTATCGCTTTGCTTTGTTCAAATTCTCCCGGAAACAGGGCGGTTGCCACGTAGTGTCCAAAATTTTTACCTTCCCTTTTTCGCCATTATCGGGGTAAATATCGATAAAATTGCTCAAAAGAAAATGGGCTTTTTTATCATAGATGCGAGAGGCAGGCAATGAATAGACCCGCAAAAAGAAGATCTTCCGACAATCAAGGTTAATATCAATCTAGTGATGCAGATAGGGAAATTTATAAAAGAAGCGAGAAATTTAGATTTTCCGACAAAAATTTTATAAGTGCTTTTATTTTTTCAAAATTTTGTACATAACTTCACGTAAGTAACGTGTCTAAATCATACTACTCGAAGATTTGTCTTGTCTTTTTTCTGAAAAAAGGCATTTTTAAGTTCTATACTTTATTAAAAGAGATTGTCTATCTGATTCAGAACAACAGAAGAAATCACCATGTTCAGCTTTAAAATATTTCTCCCAAAATGTATCATTTGGATTTAAATAGACAAACCATGTGAATCTCCGATCAGATCAGAAGTTTTCCGATAAAACAGCAGTTGAGCTGTACAGGGGAGGGGGGGGTTGCCCCGCCCCTTGACCCCCCTTTATGGACGCCACTGCATCAATCAATATTTCCCTATAGTTGCCCTGTAATGTAGAATGTTCTCGGAATGAACACAGCAGAAACACTCAAGCTCTCTGCAAATCGCCCGTAAAGAAATGTATTCTGTTTTGAAATAAAATTGATTAAAAGTAACAAAATTATGCTCATAAACAGTAAAACATTTTCAGTGAGTAAACGAAATTTAAGCTAGTTTAAACGGCGTGGTCGCAAAATTTTTCTGCTCGCTTCGCTCGCAGGGGCCTACTTCTCCGCTTTTGTCCCAGGGCCTCCAATTCTCTAGGCAGCCCTGCGTCCAAGTCTGGAACCGTGACAAAACGGTCGTGGTTCGCCCTTTCGTTTACGCTGGCACTCTGGAACCGAGCTAATTTTGCTCTGCCATCCGGAATGGTTTTGACCCTGAACAGGGTCATAACATTATGAAACGAATTTTGTACTGTCGCGGTTCCGTTTTTAAACAGGAAAACAGGGTCCGAAATAGCCTGATTTTTAAGAATGTGAATCGCACGCATGAAAGAAATAATGCATATGGTTTGCCACACGCATGGTGATTTCCTTTTGACCAAGACTGGTTATCATAACCATTGGCATACAAGAGCTCGATGATTAAAGAACATAACATACCTTACAGCTAGAGGCTGGCTGGGAATGCAAGCCTTTAAACCGTCGACTTGGTTCCAAAGAGACTGGTGTAGCTTAAACTGCAGTCTGCAAAGATATAAAAGTCTTAACCGTTTTCTTATTAAGAGTTCTAATTACGATTTGCTAAATATTAGGTGGTGATGTGCAACATGAGAAAACTTCAAGAGTGAAGAAGAAGTGGGATTGGACAATGAAAATAAAGCAATAAATAAGGGAGAAAATTAGGATAAGACGAAAACTAAAAGAAAGAAGACGAGGAAGTGGAGATGGAGATGAGAAAGATGAAACTTATGGGAAGAGAAAAGGGAAAAGTAGAAATGAAATGAAAAGTGAAAAAGAGAGGAGATTGATTAGAAAAAGAATAACAACAACAACTGCAAGAAAAACAAGAGAAGCTGGAAGAAGAACATGAGGAAAAAGAAAAGATAGATTGTGAAGAAGAGGTAAATTAGGATAAGAAGAGAAGAGGTGCAAGATGGAGATGAGACAGATGAAAAGCTAAAGAAAGAAGAGGAGGAAAAAGAAAATGAAAACAAACACAGAAGAAGTGGAGTTTATTTAGAAAAGAGAAAAGGAAAATAACGGCTAAAAGAAGAAAATGAAAGAGAATAGGAAGAGAAAGCATTATAGGAAGCAGAAAAGAAAAAGAAAGAAAAACAAAAATATAACAATGAAAAGGAGAGCAGGAGAGGGATAGGAAAAGGTGAAAATTTCCAGCACAAAGAAGAAGAGGAAGAAAACAAAAAAGATGATTAAAGAAGAAGTAAATGTGAATTAGAAAAATAGAAGGAGAACATCTATAAGAAGAAAAAGAAGCAAAAGAGGAAGAAGAAGAAATAAAGAAAGAGTAAGGGGAGGAAGAAAACATAAAGAAAGAACATAAGAAGTGAGTGAAGTTGGATTAGAAAAAGAAAATACAAGATAAAAAGTAGAAGAATGAAACACAAAGAAAAGTGATAAGTTAGGACTACAAGAAGAAAAATAGGATCTAATAAAAAAATACTTGGAAAAGTACAGCAACCCCAACTGATAAGATTTATCTTAAAACAAACCTGAGGCTTTGTTCTTTTTGCAACCTCATACCATTGACTGTGTTCCAGCATTTCTAGGTTGCGGGGATCAAAAGATGTTTTTGGTCAGACATTGTTACTAGTAGCTACTCTGTCAAATATGATAATTTCACAGATCAATACTCTCAAATTTAGCTATAAGCTGTTTCCTCCCAGAGGTAATGTGAAAATCTTACAAAATGTGATGAACCCTTGTCGTGAAATGTTGGTTAAGTGCCCAGGTGCATAATTCATTGTTCTGTCTTTTTGGTGGGGGTACTTATTCACGGAGGGCTCAATTGAAGGAATGCTTATGAAAAACCAGGACCTCACAAAAAGTTTTCAAACCTTATTTTCATTCAAACCTGTTAAATATATGATATTTTTGGTATAGTGAATAACATTTAAAGTTCTTGAATAGGTTCAATTTACTACATGAAGAAACACTAATTTGCACAAACTTAAAATAAAGAGATTATCATTATTCCCCCTACACAGATGTTACAAGGGTGCCAATTAAAGCACAGAAAGACTTAACATACTTGCCACATGTACACTGAACACTTCTCATCAAGCATTACTGTACAAAGAGTGTCAGCTATCCATTTCATCATCCGTGGAGCTTTATCAAGAAATGGTGTGATGTTGTCAAGGCCAATGTTAATTGTACCAAGCTACAGTTAATTATACTTGAATTTAATAAATGATAAATAATTAATGTACAAACATTTCATATCTGAATATTTCATTTCATTGTAGAAATTGATCATCATTTACTACTGGTGTATTTTTGACAAATTGGCAAAATTTAAAAAAGGCAGAAATTTGATTTTGCTGGCTGGAAAAATCCAAAGGAAAGATACTTACCTTCTGTATGACTTTATCTTGTGCAATAATACTTTGGCATCCAAGGTGTAGCACCTCAAATGGATTAAGCTTGAACCAGTCTCTGTATAAATTAAAAGTTCTAATGTTTCTATTTTTCAAAATAATGTAAATTCACATTACTTATATTCACATTCAGATTACAGAGAGCTGACACTGGCCTTGGTGGCTTTTGAGTCTTTTAAAATTTAACTCGTCTACAAATAAATGCTAAACAGTTGGTAGGATAATGCATATATTTTGCTTATAGAAACAATCATTTTGGTCTTGCTATTCAATGTGATAGCAATTGGTATATTCAATATTTGCATAAAACTTGGCTGAGTAAACCTACCTTTATATTTTTGAAATAAACAGATCACTAGCTAGGCTAATAAATATCAGAAGCTGTAACAATGGTGGTGCCAGTCACTAAGCTCTGGGGGGGGGGGGGACAAAAAAAATTTAAGCCATGCCCTTTTAGCAACCAGAAAACGCCCTTTTACCAACAGGGATGGCCAATTTTATCCGAAGGGACACCTATGACTCACTTTTGTTTGAAAATTGGCAGTTTGAAAATCTTAGGATTACATCACAAAAAGTATGGTGTCAAAATATTACCCCTCCCACAACATTTTCTCATTGAATTTAGAAGAAATACAAAATCAATTCTGCTGAGAACTGGGGGGACGTGTCCCCCCCAATCCCCCTGTGGCGCCGCTTTTGAGCTGTAACAAAACCAATAAAGGACAACTCAGCAGCCAGGGTTGCAGACTACAGGTCCAAGGGTCAGTACAATCTACAATGTTTGTCTCCAAAAAGGCTTAGCCCATGACAGAGATACACACGATACTCTTACTACAACACACCTACTTTACCTAACTACATATAACTACAAACGATATTGGTTAACAGATTAGTAGTTTTGAGGCAAGGGCACTTGGTCAACATAGTTTAATTGGGCCTTGGTCAACCTGTTTTAGGACCTGAAATGTGCAAACTTTCATCCAGAATGAGATGAGTTGCCAGAGCTCTGCAAATGCAGGTGTAGGAATCATGAGGTGTAGGCATATTGAGAGGAGGGGCCATGACACAGGCACCATGAAGCATTGAGAAAAGTGGGGGATCTAAAAAAGTGGGGGAGGACTTAAACTAAATAAAAAGAGGCTGTACTGATGATTCTTCTCTTGACATCGTACATTTCTGGCAAAAGTGGGGGCTCAAGCCACCCTAACCCTAACCACCATGGTGCCTGTGACACTGTCTGATAAGCAAAACTTCTCAGTATTCTTAAAACTACCTTCAGATGCTACAGAAACAAATGCAACTCCAAAAAGCCATTACAGAGGGACCAAAACAAAGCAAAATTTTTCAAAACCTGCAAAAAATATTTTTTGTTATTTCCCATGGTTTTGAATAAGGTTACAATATACCTTTCTTCAGAAAAGTTTCCATTTTGATGTCTTGCCTCTTCAAGAGAATGAACAAAGTCTGGCCATGTCAGCAGTACATCAACCTTTGGCAAGATGTATTTCAATTAAATTGACAAAACAAAGGAATGTTTGATAAAAAAGTTGAGCTAATTGCTGATTTATTGCCCCTGTTTTTACTTAATAAATGAGAGTGTTTCTTTGATTGTTTACAAATATGCAGAAAATTCCGGCACCCTTTCAAATAACACGATGAGTTGTTTCTAGGAAAACTTAAAAGCTATAGGGCAAAAAGTGAATACGGAAGTGTTTATCCTGACAATAGAACTTATACTCCAAGCCTATATTCTGTGTTCCCCTCCCCTTTGCATGCCCCTCTCCCCCTTGAAGCAGTCTTCACTGGCGAAAACTTCAATGCTGAAAAACGAGATTCACTCTATTATAGCTTATGTTTTGGAGTCAAATCAAGGTGTTTCGAATAATTTTGGCAGGGATTTTATGTAGCTTAAATACATAAAAAAATATGATATTAGAAGCAAATGTTACTGCTGGGGAGAAATCAGGCGCCTTTTGAGTCATTTGTGCGGGATAGGATCAATAAAAGACTTTCAATTTGTGAAGGTCTTTGCACAACGGAATGGAACGAAACACTTTGGCCCATTCCGTGTTGTCTTGTTAGCTTTGGTGATGAAAATTACTTAACAATACAAATGGTTTGCTAATGACGATTATTGTCAAGTATGGAAGTAGCTAATCGTAGCAAAGATGAAGAAATAAATGATGAAATACGTCGAGGAAAGGAGAGTATGGGGGAGTGAGTATCTTTAATGCAGAAATGTTTACCTTTGACGCATCTGCTTCCGTATCTTCATCGATCGCTTGCATTTTGAACACAAAACACTACGTTAGGTTCCCTGTGAAAATGTGGCTTCCTAACCACAGGTGAACCAAAGTAATTCAACGATTTTGTAATACAGATGTTGTAATCACGTGACAGACAATATCTAATCCATATAGTGGTTCAAAAACGTCACGGAATCTTTGTAATCTGGGCCGGTTAAGTTATAAATCTTGAATGTTTATCAAGATATGAAAATGCAAAGAGTTTTCTTCCTTGCTCTACCATCTCAACGATGTAATTAAAAACGTCTCTCACAATTTCTGGGGTGAGGCAGGACAGGACAAATGAAAGATCTATAGCAAATTGCAAATTTCATGTGGGCGGTGATCTCAGACAAAAATTAGGAGCATATGCGCAGTTTATACAAGAAATTGTGTTCATATGGTTGATTTGCGCACTCTTTATTGATGCCATATGCATAAAAGAGAAGCCCTCTCGAAATGGTCGTTTTTATGTTCAAAGAATGTTCAATTCTCTGTCAACATCTGTAATTTTCAAATTTTTAAAATGAGCCAGCTTTCTGAAAATTCGGAAAAAAGACTGGGACTGCAGCCAGTGGGACTACTTAGTGGGACTACATAAACTCAGAATAGGTCCAAGGATTGAGCCCTGTGGAACTCCAGATTTAAACTGCTGAGCTTCCGATAGGACGTCATTGTAGCTCACTTGTGCTGACCGATTAAACAAGTAGTCCTCAAACCAGGTAAGTTCTTTGCCGTCAATACCATATGATGGTGGCTTGGTCAACAATTTGGAATGGCTGATGGTGTCAAAGGCCTTACTAAGATCAACAAACACAGCGCCGACTAGTTGCCCTATATCCTGAGTTTCGAACAATATTTTGCGGTAAGGAATTTGAAAATGGCTTGAAAAAAGCAAACATTTTACAACATAGTAAAAGCTTTTTCGTCTGACACTCTTCAGAGCATAAAACGTCAGAATAAGGGTTCGAAAGAACACGATAAAAAATTTATACCCAGTTGTGGATCGAAATAGTCCAATCAGAAAAACGCAAGCACAAGACCGGTAGAGTTGACCAATCAGTGCCGCGAGCCTAAAGAAAAATTACCTCTGGAGTCCAAGAGAGAAAACGAACTCCTTCTGTCTACACAATGGCGGCTTTTTCGTTTTTATGTAGATTGACTCCAAAACTGCTAGATGGAAGGACGACCGGGCTCTGCCAATTATCCGTAACATGTCGTCATTATAGAGTTTTGCACAATCTGGGTTGTCTAAAAGATGTTGACCGATGGAACTACAAGATCGAGGAGGCTGTTCTATTTGAGGGGCAGTTTTGTTTCTTATGTTGGAAGGAACATGCTGTTTTATCCTATCCCCCAATCTTTGCGTTGTGCGTCCTACGTAGCCAGAACCACACTGGCACGTAAATTCATAAATGACGGAACTTTTTTGGTTGGTAGGATCCTGATTTTTATATAAACAAGAAACGAAATACTATCCCTATCTCTCCGATAAAAACGGTACCACGACACGAAACATGTGTTGATTGCTGTTATCTACATTATCTCTGTAGGTAGAACTTGTTCACAGTGAATTATGTTGATAATTTTTGCTAGGATTCGACAGAACAGATTAAGAATTTGAATACACTCTTTTCTTTTATAAGAACCAGTAAATTTAAGTTCAGGCTGACTGTTCTTAATTTTTTCGAAAATCTGAGGCTGGATTGTTCTTAATTTGTTCTTAATTAAGAGGGTGTAAGCAGTGCTATTGCTAGCTTTTTCCCTCTTAGGAGATGTTCAAGCCTCATTTGCCAACAAAGTGAGTGAGACAGCCTTAATTTGCTGACAAATTTGAATATTCGCCGAAAAAGCACCCAAACATTGCTAAAAATCCTCGATTTTGAGAAAAAACGTTGTTCAAAATTGCATTTGACAGAAGCTCAGCCTCGACTTGTTCTTAATTTGTTCTAAACTTTTGACCAGTTTTGTTGAGGCTCGTGTTCTTATAAAATTGTTCTTATAAAAAAAGAGTGTAAATAAAGAATACTATTTTAGAATGCGATGCGCGAGAATTCTGTTTTGATGCGTGTAACCGTGACAGATACTAAAATGCTTTTCTTTTCTTCTCAACCTAAATTACAATAGAGCAATCAAAACAATGGACATCGTGTCATGATTGATAATGGAACAGGGAAAGTAGAAAGACTCTTGACTTAAGCAAATCTGACCTGAATGACATACAAAGAAAGGCATTGCTGGGGATGCACGCTTTTTCAGGTAATGACTATGTATCTCGCATGCTTCGAAAAGGCAAGCACCTGTGCTGGAAACACGTAAAAGACAACAAAAGGTATCTGGAGCTATTTAGCTGTTTGGGGACAGAAGTTCAAATTAATGACCATCAGCTAAATGGCCTTGAAGAGTTCGTATGCGTGATTTTTGGACAAAAAAACTCAGCTCGGTAAATGATGCTAGAATAGAACTTTTTGGGAAAGAATGGAGAGAAACAACAAAATAACAGATCTATCTCTTCTTCCGCCATGCAAAAGCAGCCTTGCAAGGCATAGTTGATTTTTAAATTGTGTTGAATGTGTTAAGACGATAATTCTTACAGGGAACTGGGAGAGAAGTGAATAGAAACTTAGATAATAGAATGTGAGGGGGCAGCTGGTGTTGAATGTCTCATAAGAGCTTTATTTATGATCTCTGTAATTTATTCTTATTCTATTGCAGTTTAGGTTGCTAAGCAGGATAGCCAGGGGAGGCGCCACGGGTTGGACAAGTCCATCCAACTTTTTTTGAGATCGACTTTCTAATTTTTCAAAATTGAAACAGCGTTATGTTGTTTTAGTTTAGTTCGTTGGTTTTGAATAGCCTTTGTAGCTATTTTGTATACATGAACTTAAAATAAAGAAATGAAAAAAAGACAATGGAATCTTCTCCGCGCGATTAATAACTTTCGTAGAGTTGTTATGACATTCAGTGCTGAGGAGAGGGGGTCAGGGGGGTCACTGAGCCGGGGGCCCCTGGCTAAAGAGGCCAGAAAAACAACTCAATTAAAAACAATAATCCAGCCTCTCCACTACCTTAAACTGTCATTAACAGAGACCATAATGCAAAAGTCTATTAAAAAGGTAAGGTAGAAGCAGTTTGAGTCTCACTGCTTGAGTGTCAAAAATATTTGTGTTAACGATAGATCAGCCCCAAGTCTAATTGATAATATTTTATGAATTGATAACATTGGACCCATTAACCATCGGTGGAAGTCTAATTAATATAATATCTGACAATTTGCCAGTTCAGTTCATTTCAGTTCAGTTCAGTTCATTCATTCATTCATTCATTTATTTTATATTCCACTACATACAGATACTCTAATATCAAACTACTTACAACAATTATAATGAATACATGAGACAATAAACATAGAATATAACAAAGATTTGACACTACACTAGAGGATTTGCAATCAATCAGTTACGTGAAAATAAAGCAGGGCCTATTTTAAGAAATTTTCAATACTGCACATTTATAATCATATTTTTTATAGGAAATTTTGTTGTTGCAATCAGTGCAAACCCCTGCAAACCCCAGAAATTTCAAAACAGCAACAAAACAAACAGAAGCTACAAAACCTGAATAGAAACATAGTCATTTATCTCTTGTAAACAGAGTCACTATCTTATGTTTTGTCTGGACAGTAAAACAAAACAGTTTTAATAGGCTCTTTATCTTTCTTTAAGCTCGTTAAGTTAAGTTATAGGCTCGTTAAGTTAAGTGAGCTTCTGCTAGATGCCCAGAGCATCATAGGGCAACTGATAAATTATTGCTCAATGTTTTATCTTCGACAAGATCAAATTACGAAATTTACAGCAATGCTGACATTTACAGGAGATGTTTTGTTTTTGGTTCTGGGAATTTCGATTTGTTTTAAGATTTGATAAGAGTGTCTCTCCGATGGTCATACGAGAATTACAATACATGAAGTCTATATCGAACTGACGAGGAAATTTCACACTTTTTGAACAAAGCAGGAATCTGGGATTGCCGCGAATAGACATTTTCACAAATCCCAAAATTCAATACTGTACATTTTCGAAATCAATACTGCACGTTTTTAAATTAATACTGCACAAAGTGTGTAATACTGCACACTAAAATAGGCTCTGAAATAAAGTCAATATTAAGAGTATACATAGGTACTTCAGCAATTTTAATAAAGAAGCTTACAGTACTTACATGTGAAGCTCAACAGACTTGCTTTTGTCATAATAATAATCATAATTCTGATAACAATACATAATATGAGCATATTCAAAATACATTCTTGGAACTACTAGATAAACATGCCCCATTGAGGCCTAAATCAAAGTGTCTAAAAAGACAACAGCGTGAACCTTGGAGAACTGACGAAAGATGACTTTTGCTTTGAGTGGTATAGAATATTTAGAAGTACTCTAAACCGAGTAATTACGTCATACTTTAATGATTTCAGAAAAGATTCCAAAAAAAATCTGGAAAGGAATCAATGAAATTTTAAACAGAAAAAATCTGGAAAGGAATCAATGAAATTTTAAACATAAATAAAACCGAATATTCTCAAGATATAAAACTAAATCTTAAAGGAAAATTGATCTCTGATGTTAAACAAGTGGGGAATGTATTTAATCACTTTTTCATTAATAAAGCCCAGACACTTGCAAACAAGCTTGGCCCTGCTAAAGCAAATCACAAAAACTTCTTAACTTTTTCCATTGTAAAAAGCTTTTTCATTAATCCTGCTGATCCGGGTGAGGTTAAATGTGAACTAATAAACCTGGATGAATCCAAATCACCAGGCTCGTCTGACATCAAGACAATCGTATCATGACAATAAGAATGATTAAATACCTGAATAAATCCTTATCTGGCGTTCTTGCAGATTTGATTAATGAATCTTTCAGCTCAGGAATACATCCAACCCTTCTTAAAATTGCAAAAGTGCCTATACCAATTTTGCCTATACCAATTTTTGAAGCTAAATCTAGTTTAGACGTTTCAAACTATCGTCCTATATCACTGCTGCCAATATTTAATAAAATCTTTGAAAGAATTATGTATAAAAGACTTATAGGCTTAGAAAAGCACAACTTACTCTTTTCACACCAATTTGGCTCTCAAAAAAAACAAATCCACCTCACAAGCAATACTAGACCTTTGCAACCAACTAACCAGTGTTGTGGATAAAAAACAAGTTTCTTGCTGCATCTTTTTAGATCTTGCTAAAGCTTTCGACACGGTTGACACAAAATTTTACTAGCCAAACTCAGCCACTATGGTATAAGAAGAAATCCTTTAAACTGGTTCAAACCGTACTTATCAAATAGGAAACAAAAAGCTTGCATAAATGGAATTTTATCTGAGCCCCAAATTGTTACACATGGTGTACCCCAAGGAAGTGTTCTTGGTTCTCTTCTATTCCTGTAATATATAAACGATCTGCCTTCGCACTCCAAAATCCTTAAATTCCATCTTTTCGCTGATGATACAAGCATCTTCCATTCTAATGATAACCCAAAGGATAATGATAATTTAATGATAATCATGAGTTAAAAAATGTTTCAACATGGCTTTCCGCCAACAGGTTATCACTTAATGTTGATAAATCTAATTTCCTTACTATCTCAAATAAGAAAAAATTGATTCTATCCTAGTCATCAAAATTGATAATATTTTCATTAAGGAAAAAGACCATATAAAATATCTTGGTATTCTAATTGTTAACAGATTAAGTTGGAAACAACATGCACAAAATGTCACCACAAAAATCTCGAAAAGCATCAGAATACTGGCAAAGATGAGACACTCTGTTTCATTAGATGTACTAAAATAATTGTATCATGCTTTTATTTCTCCTCATCTCAGCTATGGTATCATTAATTGGGGTAGTACTTCAAAATCTGCTACGAACAATTTAAGAAAAAGTCTTAAAAAGCGATTAGAATTGTGAACTTTGCAGGCTATACGCCTGGGTCGAAACCAAGCTATAGAGCTGGGTCAAAGTTAAGAATTATGAACTTTGCAGGCTATAGAGCTGCGTTGAAACCCTTGCTTTCTAAACTAGGTTTACTAAAATTTGAAGATACTTATAAATTTGAAACTGCAAAATTCACGCACGATGTTAACAACAACAACATCATCCCGACTTTATGTGACCTAATTCGAAAAACCAATGTACGGCACAGCTCTAACACTCGCCAAGCCACTTAGAATCAGTTCTCCCTGCCTCTGGTAACAACAGAATGTCGGAAAAGATTTATTGCATTCAATGGCATCAAAATATGGAATGAAAAACCCTGAGAAATTCGTTCTATGTCAAGTAAAAATAACTTTAGTAAAGTTCTTTATAAGTGGTTATTGCAACATGATGAAAATCACAAATCTTTAGTCAAGCACTCAGTTATATCGTGAATATTAAGCTTAACCCCCTCCAATGCAAACCATTCTTGAACCCAACTGCAGTGTTCCCTCCCCTATTATTTCTACCGTTTGATGCTGAAAGAAAAAGTTTGATTTGATTTTGATTTGATAGTCAGTATTCAACACACGGTGTTACACCAATCTCTCGCCTAGGCCCCTTTATCGGCTCCACTCTTTCATTGTCCACCCCACTCTTTTGGGACTGGCGCCGCCCCTGAGGATAACACGTCTTATCCCCTCAAACTCAAACTCAACAAATTTTTTTAGCAAATCAAGTTAATTACAAGCTACGTCATTCTAAAGTTGTTTAATACAATCAATAACGTAAATTTGAAAAAAAGCATCAGCTTTACTTAACACAATACACATGATTAACGATACAAAGCACAAGAACGGGGAATTCTACTCTTCAATTTCTTTTTCAAAATGCAGTCTCATAATAACTTCTCCTGGCATGTTCCAATGATATATAATCATTGGCATGTTCAAACGATTGAATTCAACCCGAAGCTTTTGTGCTGACGATAAAAGATGATTACGTTGAATGAACAGCCTTGAAACAAGATGGGTCGCCAAGGTAACTGGCTTGGTATAATGCGCAGGCTGAGGAAAAGTAAGACATTGCATGTTGCAGGTTGTTCCGCAATATGGAGTCGCGGAAGCTGTCGAGTATCTTTGTTACATTAACTTTAATCGTAGCAATTGCATTTCTATTTTTTCAATATAATTATCATCTTGGCAATTTAAAGTACCGTATCATCCAGCCGGGTATTTGGTCAAAAGTTCACAACAGAAACGTGAAGGCCAATAAATCAATTGTTATTCTGGAGCCGCACAGGAGACGCTTGATTCTAATTTACACGAATCTGTTTGGAAATCGAGAATGGTATCATTTACCGAAATCTGAGGCACCGAAATTTGCTGACAGATGTGAATATAAAAACTGTGAAGTAACGTATGACCAAAACAAGTTTACGGAAAGCGATGCTGTGGTATTTCATGCAAGGGACATGCCATCAAGCCAGTTTTTGCATGACTTTAGTAGCAAAAGTAGGCCCTCTCGTCAGAGATGGGCGTATTTCATATCAGAAAACCCAATCAACACACCCGATCGAACGCCACTGAATGGACTTTTCAACTTTACAATGACCTATAAGAAAGAGAGCGATGTTTGGCTACCATATAAACAGTACCATAAGTTAACGCCAGCAGAATCTAAGCCCGCGATAATAAATTATGCAGAAGAGAAGAACAAGGTCCCTGATAGAAAACTAGTTATGTGGATAAGCAGTCATTGTGGGACGCTTCGAGACCAATATGCGAAAAAGCTTCAAGAATTTGTTCCCATTCGTGTGGCAGGAGGATGTGCCCACCAATTTAAGTTACCCTTCCATAATTGCAATCAAGGTGGCAGGGAGGCATGTTTCAGGCATATAAAAGAACATAAGTTTTATTTGTCTTTTGAGAATGCCTTTTGTGACCAATATGTGACAGAAAAATACTGGTACAATGCACTGGAAATGGGTAGTGTTCCAATTGTTTTGGGTGCTGGGCCCTACAATGACCCAAAGGTGGCGATCCCTGGCTCATTTATAAATGTTGAAGACTTCGCAACAGTCAAAGATCTTGCAGACTATTTGATTTACTTAGACAAAAATGATACTGCCTATAATGAATATTTCAAATGGAAAGAGACATACAAATTAACTGATGAACTTGGCTGGCCTTTTCCTGATATTTTTACTTGTGACTTATGCAAATTGCTACACACAGATGCTACAGTAAAAGTCTATGATCGGCTATCAGATTTTTGGAGTGGCAATGACTGTGTTGGCAAAGATAACAAAGTGAAAAGTATACTCAGTAAAAGCTAAGGGTGTTGTAACATTTAGTTTCATGTTTGCCTTTTAAACAGCCTGCATGGTAGAAGGTTGTAAATTTTTTTTGTATTTAAATTCCATGCAGCATTTCATATTCAATTATTTATTTAAAGATTTGTATCCTGGTCCTGCTAAAAGCAACTAAAAGCCTTTAAAAAAATCATACTCCAAGGCAAACCAAATTTGAAACTATGATAGTAGCAAACGGTTTCCTAGGATATTCCCTTGAACTGGATATTACTTACTTCGCATCATCAAGGGTGGGCATACATCTTTGGTTATGAATTCGGTACTGCAAGTTTTGATATGTTTAGTGACCATTGTTATCATATAAATGTATACTTATTAAAACTAAGATAGCTTCTGGTTGACTTTTGTAGTTCTGTTTGTGGGAAAATAACCTTACAATTTTAATTTCACAGAAATATTGTCAGTTTTTCATGGATTCAGTAGTTTTATTCCCCGTAAACAATACTTTTTGCATTCATACATACTGTAAACAGTTGTTTCAGCATCTTATGCAACATGGCACAGAAACTACCAAACATTGCAACCTATCTCAAGAAATTCCTCAGATATAAAGTTAGTTCTACAGCAATATTTTTAGGATGAATCCTTTTGGAAAAACATTTCTGTTTCTTTAATCAAACTAAGAACATGAAATGAAAATGCAACAGTTTTTATCTGGCTTAAGAATTTGATTGTCTGGAGAAAATGTATGAAGGTGTTAGGACCAGAGCAAGGCATCTTTTTCTCAAATCCTGTTTTGCCCTGATTTGTCATTTTTAAAACCTCCAGAGTTTTTGTGATATCTTGTTGTGTTGATGTGCCCTTGAAAAATTCTGTAGATTTCATATGATATTGATTGTAACTGATTGAAAACATATTTTCCCTTATGCTTTTTGTTTTCTCCTATTCTGATCTTAATCCCTTGATTAAAGTTTGCAACTTATTATAGATGAGTCATAATCCCATTTATGATTTCACTATGTTCTGTTGATGGGAAATAAAAAGTGACTGAGATGACTTGTTTCCTTTTTTTTAGAAGAAGAGAACTTAAGTTTTTATCAGGAGCTAGGCAATTGCCATGTAACATGAGCTCATTTGGTCCCAAGTGATTCAATTGTTTTTTTGTTTACCCTCAAAAAGGCCTCCTGGGTTTTTTAGATGTGGTCTATTTTGAGGGGGGGGGGGCTTTCTGAGAGGGGCCTTTTAAAATTACCTTCAAATTGTCATCCAAATAGTTCATTTTGTAGCTTTGTCACAATTTTTGAGTTAATTTCATTTTGCAATTTTCTCAAATAACTCCTTCTAAGATATTACAACAAATGATAAATAAAGACACAAAAGATATCCTAATCCAAATTCTTGATATTTTCATTGTTTTTGGGTCTTTGGTTAATTTCTTGTTTTTTTAGTTTTTTTGCTTTGTGTTTACATGGTGCTTACATTCATGGACAAAATGATGTAAAACTCGTATATTGCCATGCTAGGGTGGGAGCTTATTAAGAAGTTTTACTACAGGGGGGCTTGTCAAAGGAGAGGTCATATGCAAAGGGGGAAACTGGGGATTTACGGTACAGAATTCAGTATTCAAGCCTGGTCTGTGATGCATGACATTGCTTCCTTGCATAGCCACTGTAACTTTGCTTCTGGAATGTTAATATGAATGGCAAATGAATTCCATAACAACCATTTATGATTTTGCGTCCACTCCATTCAACGTCACCAATTGAATTTTTATTGTAACAAGGGATAGACATTTTAAACCTGCCTCAAAATTGTTAGAAGCTCAAACTTATGGAAAATAGTTTGAAAACATAAAGAAAGTTAATGGTGACCTCTTGTTTATGCATATTCGCTTGTGAAGTTAGCTGCCATGTTAGTAATAAGCTCGTGCAGGCAAATTTAATATTATGGGACTTTTGACAAGGTGGGTTTATAGATCTGCTGAATTCTCCCCCCCCCCTCTTTTGTCATCATTTCCTCATTTTGTTTTCTGCTTCGTAGGAACATTTTATTTGTGTTTTACCATAATACCGCACTCTTTATGCAAAGAAATAATTTACATTTGCAATAGTGAACGAGATTTCGACAAATTCTTGAGGATTTCTAAGGATTTCTGGATAAAAGCATAGGATTTCCACCATAGTTGTACCCTATTTCCTCGAGGTGTTTTGCATTCGGCATTTTGCATTTAGTTGTAAAATAGTGAGATATTATCTGTTTTGAATTTACTATCAACTTTTAAAGCATTTACGTATACTATACGTGGTTATGGGAGTATTTGGCAAGGGAAATGTATTATCTGTTCGGCCTAGCGAATGCGGGGGTAGCAGGTAGGCACTGGAAATTAAATTTCACGATCACGCCTTCCAAAATCTCCCTTAATTTCAACAAGAGAGCCTAAGCACCCCCCCCCCCCCCACTTCACGACACCACAGCTCTAGAGTTAACTGTATGCATCAAATTGATCATTTTGAGCATTTAAATCTTAATCAACAGCTCCCGGAACATCATCTTCAGGCAGAACATTATATATTTCCAGCCACTAACTCGAAAGAGCTTTCAAGTCAGTGACGTATCTAATAAAACAGAACATTTAAGTTACAAGTTAACAGCATCATAAATATGGTAAAATGTCAAGATGCTAAGAATATTATCTTATTCTGAGAAAGTTCAATGATAATCGAAGTTAAAAGAACAAAAACTGAATTCTAAAATAAGATGCAAAGATTTGAGAAAATTATATTACCGGTCCTTTTGGTAATATTTAATAGCTATCTAATGCGAGTAATTTCCTGAATTTTAACAAAATATTTTCTACCAAGAGATCTTCGGTTATGACAAAATTCTGCATGTAGTTTCTGGTTGGCAGAGCTTTTTGGAATCTCTGAATACTGGAGATACATATCTGGCCAGGTACCGAAAACCAAGATTTTCTGCTGGTAAAAAAGTAAGCTTGTGTGTGAAAAATGCTTGGATACAAACAGGTTGTTGTGTCAATAGATGTTTAAAAATGTTTGGAGATTGATACAACGATAGCTTGCTGCGAAATATGGTGAGGACCATTAGAAACCGTTTCGTGATGTTTTGCGAGGCCCTATAAGAGGGGACGACATTATTTCATAATTCATGATGATATCTTACAATTAATTCATATTTCAAATTACCAAAGTTAAGTATTTCGAAATTGTCAAATGTTCCATTCTTCCCCCAAAGTAGAAAGTTTTTAGGAGATGTCAGGACACATGGGACCGACTCACATACAAAATGGACTGAGTCTTCAAAACCAAACTTTGCAGATAAGATATTGAAAATGTGTAAAGAATATGTTCAGGAAAAGCCAAAGGGCCCCGTACTTAGGTAAAAATAGGGAATTGATTCTCTTTGGAACTGTGGTGATCCTTTGGTACTTTTGAGGGGAATCTAAGGACACTGGATGAGAAATCCATCTTTGTTTTGCTCAACTTGTTTTTGGGGAACAACTAAAGAAACTCGAAAAACATACGCGTATCAAAACTGATAGTCTAAAGTCTTTTGCGTGGAGGGTACAACCTGAAGGGGCCAGTCTTCGTCTATTTTGTTTAAAATAAGAATAACCTCGCGGGAAACATGTCTAGACTCAGATAAAAAAAATTGAAAAATGAACAATATCTGTTTGGAGATTTGAAAATTTAGAAGACAGATTTTATCAGCAAATCAATCCTGCAACTTAAATGGTTTACAAAACTGTTGTTTTGTTGTATTAGAAAGAATTCATAGTATAAAGTTGTGGAACAATTAATATAGATAAAAACATTTGTATGATGCTATCTGGTATTTTCGTCTATTTTTTTGAGATAATATAAGCCAAAACTATTTGCGGTAGATTCTATGCTTTGGCATTTTTACTAATCGTGAAGTATGAAAAGCCGCCTCTTATTTTAAATGCCTCCTTTGAGAAAATGCCCCGAAAAAGTTTGAAAAATTTAAAAGAGCAACCCAGACGTAATATGGTATCTTAACAGCTCTACATATCAAAAGTCACTTGAGTCAATGCTGTTATCAAATAGCTAATTCTAACACAACATTCAAAGATGTATTCAGTTATTTTGTTACTTCATATTTCATGCTGGGAACCAAAGTTATTTCGAAACCAAAACATCTAAATAGTCATATTTTCTCCCCGAAAACTTAAATTACTTTATATTTCCAAAACCCCTTATAGGGCCTCTGTTGCTATTGCGGCCGCGTCTTCGCGCTTAATTTCATTGCGGATTGCGGCATTTGGTTGATTTTTGCACGGTTCTGCGGCTTTTGGTCCTCCTATAATAGGCCCCCTTGACAGTGGAACAGATTGTTCCTGCTGTGGACTATGTTTGCTAACACATATATTTAGGCCTATGTCAACGAGGATATGACATGCACGAACTAGGCCTACGGCACCTGCTGATAAGGCAGGCAACGCTTATAATGCTAGCCTGCGTCACAGACCACTCTTGTATATTGCTAGAAAAACAATGAAACAAACTGCCTGGTTCTAATATCATTTTGTTGCTGTGCTGATAATTGGCATGCCTAAAGTATCTCATGCTTTGATAATGGCTAGTGGACTTACATGCTAAATTTCCATAAGATGTAGCTTGAAATATTCAGAATGGATGTCTCCAGAACAAATGCTTCATTGTTCTTGCTCGTTAGAGACATACAATGCAAGTTTGGGATACAATGAGGCATGAAATTAGTGTTGTCTTAATCTTTTCAGTCTTTTAATGGCCTTTTTGGTTATTGATGTTGTGTAAGATGAGAGTCTAGAGTTCTAAAGTGTGACGTCATCAAAAACCTTTTTTAGAATTTTTGAATTTTAACCACATAGCGTAAAAGATCACCATGAAATACTTTCAAATACGCAAAATTGGGCAAATATGTCTAAAATCTTCTGAGATATGGCCAATGAAAGATTTTGAGTTTGCTAACGAATCACTGTTATTTCGGCTCTGCTCATAAAGTTATGAACAGAGACCAAAATACTGAGTTTTGATGGGGAGAGAACCAAAAAACATGTGGCCATATCTCTGCCATTTCGTAATACACTTGCCTGATTTTGCAAATTTAGAGGTATTTCATGATGCTCTTTCAGGTTTCGGGATCCAAATTAAAAAATTCTAAAAAAATATGTTTGTGACGTCATTACCTTAGAACTCTATTGAAATTGTTTCAGAGGAGAATTTCGGTTTCGAATCTTCATCTAAATTCTCATAGTCTTTGGTTGTATCATGGAGACCATTTTCCATAGAACATCTTGAAGAATAAAAATTTTGCTGGTGACATTGTTTTTTGATTGTTCAGATGTTACGTTGCTTTCTCAGATGTTGGAAACTCGATAAAGTAAAAAGTAGATGAAGTTTTTTCTCAGATCTTCTCTTAAAATTCATTCATTCATAGCAATTTCTATAGCAGTCGGTTGGAAGCTTTTAGTGAGGTCGTGGTGCGTTCAATTCTAGGTAAAAATTTTCTTTTTGTTCCATCCAAAGCTAAGATTTTGTTTATACAATATTAAAACTTTCGTACTAAACAGCCTTTTACAAGCACTGTCACGCCATTAAATTATATGAATATATTTGAAACGAAACCTCGAGTGCTTTCACAAGCCAAGCCAACCGGGTTGAATGCCACCAGCCTTTTTCTTAAGCCGCTCTTACACGGTCAGATTTCGTCGAATTCGACAATTGACCGGGCAATTTTGTACCGTTACGGTTCGCAAGTGTTTACACTGTCGCGGTTACAAATTATTCCGTTTAGCCGTCCCGTTTACACTGTACCGGTACGACCTTAATTTGATGGTAGAACATTGTTTAGAAGAAGCTGCATCTAGTCAACCAAGGCTTTTATTTTGCCGCCGAAGTCAAGAATC